TCATTTTCGCTTGGAGCAACTTGCGGATTTTCTCAGGGCCCCAGGCGCATTCTTTGCGCTCAGATGGACAATCTCCTTAGGAGCGACATGTGGTGACAGCACAGGGCTTGGCTGAAGCCCCCAAAATGGGTCATGAGTCATAAGAACACAACAACAACAACAACAACAACAACAAGAAGCTTAGTCCAGCTTAGTATTCATTTATTCCAGAAAATGAAGAAAAACCATTATTTTTTGTACAATCCGACTCTAAACCGGTGGTATAAATCATCTTTTCTATCTTGTGGCTTGCAGGAGATAGCAGCTCTAGGGCCATACACATCCGTTCAAGTCTGACTACCTTCAACCACATTTTTGCATATGAAACATCTTGCATCTCATCAGGACAATCTCAGCCAGTCTCTGGTCACCTAGGCTTTGGATTTTTGGCCCAAACCATATCCATATGTTAGCTACTTAAAGCCATTATGGTTTGTTAACGAATTCTATCGGGTCAAATCTGTACTGTGGCTGGTGAATAGCATATAAAATCCCACTGTTTGTGCCAAATTTCTCATAGTGTTAATGGAGTGCACATCTCTGTTGGTTGGATCAAAAGTTTCACTAGCAAAATCCACTCATTCCCATTGGATCAATCATATATTATGTGTATATGTATCCTCAATCCTATCATTAACATTGAACACCCCAGGTTTTTCTATATTACTCAATGTTTATCATGACGCAAATCAGCAATCCACAATCGTCCGCTGATCAAACTCCCAAATTCACCCTTGCTGCAGTTTATTGTCTCCATTGTCATTTATCCATGTTTTGCCGAGTAAACCAACATCAATTCATTGCCAAAAGACATCTGAACTCATGGAAACTCATCTGGTTGGTGGTTTTAACCATCTTGAAAAATATGAAAGTTAATTTGGAAGGATTATCCTTTATTATTATGGAAAATAATCCAAATGTTTGAAACCACCAACCGGTCATGATGTTCCTATCATTGTTACTCCATTTTCCTCCACCCTTCCCACGCTGCCACCGCCCGGCACCTTGGCCATGCGCCGGACCTCCGCGTGCGCCGCCAGGTCTGCAGCCGTACGGCCTCGACCATTAATGGTGGTTATATGGGTGGTTAATGGTGAATTAATCTGGTTGGTGGTAGAATAATGGTTAATATATGGTTAATATATGGTTAATATATGGTTATTATATGGTTAATGATGGTTAATAATAATCTGGTTGGTGGTTGAGCCACCCCTCTGAAAAAAAATAGTCAGTTGGGATGATTATTCCCAATATATGGAAAAATAAAAAATGTTCCAAACCACAAACCAATAATTATTGTTACCATGATGATACCATTAATGGTGAATTCACCAAGTTTGGTGGTTAAATGCCATTGATAATGGTTAACTTACCAAATTTGCTGGTGAATAATGACAATGGTGGTCAAATGGGTACTTCTAACATCATTCATGTGGGTAAAACAATGCCATAAACCACCCATGAATGGTAACCATACCACCTATTTATGGTGAAATTGGGGGATGGTTTATTATTGTTTTACCCACACTATACCATTCATAATAGTTGATGAACCAAATTTGGTGGTTAAATGTGGTGAATATAGTGACAATGGTTAATGGTGGTTAACACATATCATTGATCTGAATGGTTAATCAACTGTGATTTAGCGGTGGTTGTGAATGGCTGATATGCATTTTTATTTATATATTATATTATCTTTTCCCCAATCTGGCACCGCTGCAATGACTTCCGCTGCAATGTGCTCCTCACAATCTTCAAGGAACTGCTCAACCCGATCAGGAGCAGTTGCTCAAGGCTTCTTCCGAAGACGAAGATGGATTGTGTGGATAAACCTGCAGCACTCGTCAATCACCTGAACGTTGTCGTCCACGATGCTCGCTTGACTCTTCCTCTGAGTCAGCGCCTCTACCGCCTTGAGCTTTCCAAGGGGTCCGTCCCGACTTCGAGTGATCACAACAAAGCTGACTAAACGATGGAAACCTTCCGTGCTGTTGCAAACTAATGATTAATGATGAATAACAATGGTGGTTAACTAATGGTGAACTGACGGTTAAGCAGGATTTATAACGGTAATATATATATATATATAAAAAATATCACCACCGTTTTAAGGGGGGGACGTACCCAAAATGTAAGCTTACATTTTGAAGGTATTTTGAAGACCCTCCTCACAAAAACGACACCTGGGGGACGTTCAGCGACCAATTTTACATTCAAGGGGGGGGGTCCCCAAAAAAGTATCTTACATTGTGGCATGGTCCCCCCTTGAAAAGTAGCCTTAAAGGGGTGGTGATTATATAATGTATGTATATGTATACAATGATTCACAATGGCTCATAATGATTGATGGTTGGTAATGATTCACAGCGGTCAACTGATGGTTAATAATGATCAAATTTTCAAATGGCTAATAGTGGATTATAAGACTTGATCATGGATAATTTTGATTGAGAATGATCTATAATTATTTAAAATGAACACATGAAAGCTTGATGGGGACTAATAATGATTATATGATAGTTAGCTAACGATGATTATAATATATTATAATGGTTAATTAATGGTGAGTTGTAATGGTTAACCAACAGCAAATAATAATGATCACGTGGTAGATCAATGGGGACTTATAATGATTCATAATAGTAAATAACTGTGCGCTGTTTTTTTTCAAATGTAGAAACCATCCTACCCTTCTAATGGTTCATTGTGGACAATAATGTCTGATAATGGCTTGTTGTGCTCAACGATTTATCATGTTGTTAATAACGGATAAATAGTGGTTGATAGTGGTTGATCAGGGTTGAGAATGGTTTACATTGACTGACTGCTGGTTTAACTGGTGGTTATCTCATCCTACGTTCATATTGAACACACCCTGTAGTAGGTTTTCAATATATAGTGTCATCACGTTTCATCCCCTACTTTTTACCATGGTTTATGGGGATTGTTTAATCTCAACTGGGGCAGGGACGAATGGGGTTTTAACACCACATATAAACGGGGCCTTCAGTGTGTTTGCTTGCTTAATGGACGTGTAAATGGGGGTAGTGAACACCGAAGTGTTTTTGTGTTTCTTTTCAATGGATTTAATTCGGTGCTAAATGGTGCTTAATTCTTTGTTTAATGGATTTGGACATGAGGATCTCATGGATATCAACATGCTGATCTATAATATATGCACTTCCATATGCATGTGGCGCCGCTCCTTTTGTGGACCTCGGTTGTTTGGTTGTTTGTTGCCCAATCCATTCTGTGAGAGCATTTGAGTGAGAGTGAGTCAGAGTGAGAGCATCTAAGTGACGCTAGCCCCACATTATGTGAGAGATTTTGAGTAAACGTTGGGCAGCTCTGAGTGAACAGATCCTTGGACCGGAGAAAAAACCATTGAATTATTTTGGTTCCATTTGGCTGAAATTGAAGCCATTTGAGAAACTGGTCAATTAACAACTAAAAATTTGCAATTGAGACGGTTTGATTTTTTTTGAAACATTTTGAGTTCTTTTTCTTTTTGGTTGTTGGCTATTTGGTAATGTCTTGGCATCAAGATTGGGACATCTCCAATCAGCCACTTCTTTGATCCCAGCGAGCTGTTCTGAGCCAGCTAAAGTGCACACAGAGCGTGCGAAATATTCTGAGATTTCAACATCCGAAAATGGTCCCTCCTCAAAAAATGGCCGAGAAGATTCTGTCAATTTTGGTTTGGTTTACGTCGTGTTTAAGTGCTGCGTGGGCATGTTTGAAGCCTTTTGACTGGTTTTGAGGTAAAAATAAAAAAGCTCAAAATTTTGCATGTTCTCAAGGCCATTTCCTCAAGGCACTTATTTTGCCTATGATCCAAGCGTCGGGTCTTGTTCTTTTTGGTGGGTTGCCCGGTCCCACGTTCTTTTTTTTTTCGTTTGTTTTTTTTTTGGTTCAAGGTGGGTGGGGTGCCGGCTCCCCGAAATCCCAATTCAAAAATCTACTGGTACAGGCCGGTCTGCGTTGGATCCGTTGTGACCAAGGCTGTGTTTATACTGGCCAGCCTCCAGATATGCCGATGGCGCACTGGGATTTCCGTGGTTTCAGGCTCCACGGGAAGGAGAATCGCTAATTGCGGTTGTAGTTGTAGTGTGTTGCAGGATTGAAAGGCATCAAGTAGATAAAACAGTGATGATCCCAGACGATTTGAAAAGGGGAGATGTTGATGGGATTGATTTGCCTCCAGTCCTATCCAATGTTTGTCATGTTTGAATTCGTTTGCATATTCAGCATTGTGTTGTGCATATTTGTAATTTCACACTTGTTGCGCCTGAAACTTGATAATTTCATTAGCACGTATTACTTGTTTTATGCGATATCAAATTATAAAACAATAAATCCAGATTAGGTCCAATTGGATTGTTTTGGGGGAACATATTCTTCAGGATGCGATTTGCCACTAAATGATGTGTATGTAAATATATTTATTGTTTTATAATTTTGATAGGTTTTTTCCATTTTTCTTCTCCGGCATTCGCATGCTGCATGTTCATAGCGTGATCATTTCATCAGACAATCAATTCCCAAAGGAAGAATCTTGATTTAGTCAACCCTGATTGCCATGATGAAAAAGGTGAAGGCTCAAAGGTGTTCACCAACATTTTTTGTTGCGAATTTTGGTCCTGGATTATCCGACTTTTCTGGTCCGGAAACATCACGAGCCAGAATCATGTTCGAGATCTGTGTTCGGAGAATTGGTGTCCGCAAGGAAAGCTTCACACAAGCAAGACAGCAGTCAAGTTGGTTTACCGTGACATCCAACATTGAATCTGCTTTGAAGCGATTCCTCTTTAGTTCTTCAAACTCACGAATGCCACGTTTTTTTTCGTGACAATAGCATGGCATCCTTTTTGTCTGTTGAATAGACACTGCTGGGTAATGCACTGAGAATTGCATCCGTTTCAGTGAGCTTCAGTCCAGGGAACAGTGCAGAAACGTTCTCATACTCCTTGATGAGGTCGCGGCGTGGATTCTCCAAAATCAACTTCTTTGTCTCGTCTGACATCATCAATCCAGCTTCGCGAACTCTCTCGCTGATATATCATATCACAATATACATATATATATATGATATCTTGAATATGTTCTAATCACATATATTGTATGAAGACAAAACAATCGTTGATCAGTTGCTGAAAATCGCTGTTAACTTGCAACCCCGAAGCCAAGACACCGTCTTTACGCATCTCGGCCAAGGCCTGCTTCAAGTTAGCTTGCTCGTCCTGGTGATCTTGAGTAATCTTGAAACAATGGATTTAAACAAGATTTACAGGGATTTCATAGTGGTTTGGTTTATATAATGGTGGTTTAGTCAGGGTTTAATGGGCTTGGGATTTGATGGATCATTCACATAGGAGTTTTACCACATCGGTTTTCAGCTCCTGAAAAATCGTGCTTCCTTGGGATCATCAACATGAAACATGGGACTTCAAGGAACGGAGTACGTAAACCCTGGAAGAGTCAACTTCATATTCAACATTTTTGGTTTATCTTAGTAGTATATCCATGCTATACCCATCATATCCCTGTTCTGGCTGATTTTCATGGCTACCTGTTACATACCATGGATGAAAAAACTCCCATGTTTCATGGTTAGATCCAAATTTGTGATTGTTGAATACACACTTTGGTGGTTCAATCCCCATTTTTCCTTGGATATTCCCATGATATCCCTATCTACAGGTCAATCTTCATGGGTGTAAGTTTGATATGTTTGCTGCTTAAATCCCAATGTTCAAGATTTGGATTCTTGAAATTCACGTGTTTATACATTTTGGTGGCTTAAATACTGGTTTTGTTGTTTTAATCTATACATATAGTTGTTGAAATCACCATTGTTTAAGTTTATCGAGTTGAATCCTCAATTTGAGTGGCTATGTCAAGTCACCATGTATAGCTCTTTGAAATTCCCCAGCTGTTGTTTTGTTTATTAGTTAAATTCACATGTTTGCTGGTTTTTGTATGCCCCAAAGAAATAACTGGTTACCATCTGGATCCATCAATTCAACATTAGCTATGGATAATGACCCAGTTTATAGACGATTTATATTGCTTTATCGAAAACCATGTCTATGTTATATATCATCTCTATATATATATATATATATGTGTCATATATGTTTATTAAATTTCACGAGCTCCTGGGATTTTGTGATTTTTAGGGAATATTGGATATCAAGGTCAAGATGCAATATGTGGTGCAGTGTACGTGCACAAGGGTGGCACCGAAAAACTTAAGCGTCATGGTTTGCACGGGTTCAGCCTTCCATAAATGGAAGTGGTCCAATTAATCGTTCAGAAAAAATGAAACGGTCGGAAACGGTCGGAAACAGTCGGAAACATGATCAGGCCAAAACTTGTTCAACCCGCATTTATTTTTAAATAAGCATTTCCGCGCAACGCCGTTCTTTTTTTTGAAGGTCCAAAGGTGTCCAAGGGGAAACGGTTGGAAACAGTCGGAGATCGCACCTTCGCTCGGCAAAAAAGACATGTTTTTACACAATTTTCAAACATGTTTCATGAACATATGCTACAAAACAACTACTTTCTTGCCGAGCGAAGGTGCGATCTCCGACTGTTTCCAACCGTTTCCCCTTGGACACCTTTGGACCTTCAAAAAAAAAACGGCGTTGCGCGGAAATGCTATTTTTTAAAAAATTCGGGTTGAACAAGTTTTGGCCTGATCATGTTTCCGACTGTTTCCGACCGTTTCCGACTGTTTCCGACCGTTTCCGACCGTTTCATTTTTTCTGAACGATTAATTGGACCACTTCCATTTATGGAATGGCTGATCCAGTGCAAACCCGTGCAAACCATGACGCTTAAGTTTTTTGGTGCCACCCTTGTGCGCTTACACTGCACCACATATTGCATCTTGACCTTGATATCCAATATTCCCTAAAAATCACAAAATCCCAGGAGCTCGTGAAATTTAATATATATGTTAGCTAAATCCTCCCGTGTTATTTCTTAAATTCAACACATCTGGGAAATAATTTTATCTTTCACTATATAATCTAAAATAAGGCCTCCCATGGGACGATTCCTCTTAACCAGTGAAAACAGTGAGGGAGAAGAGTGAGGAAGTTATAATTTAAGCCCTGATAATATTGCAATAATATTGTACTAATATTGTAATATTCCAATCAAATGTGTAATGTTTCGCCCAGAACATATGTGCTGGTCCTGCTCATGGCGCACTACTGGAGCCCTGACCCGCGGCACCAGGATCCGTTGCGCCAGCTGGGCGGAGCCTGCGCCAGCTGGGCGGAGCCTGCGCCACCCGAATCTGAACAAATCCAACGATTCGGGAGCGCGTTGTGGAAAAACATGGGAAAATTGGGATTTAACCTGCAAAAACAGCGGAAAATGCAGGAACATGAGGATTTCATCAGCAAACAATGTGGACAATTGGGATTTCATCAACAACAACTGTGGAAATATTGGATTCAACCAATAAAAATCCCTGAAGTGAGACACAGTGAGACTCCAAAATGGAAAACTTGACCAGCAACGCCATTGACGGTGGATCAGTGGAACTGAAAATCGACCAATAAAAATCTGGAATCATTCTAAACCATGAAGTTCTTCAGTTACTACTTACATCTACCCCAACATAAATCAAATATTATCAAATCATATATTATCCATATACTAGGTTGCTGTGATAGGATATATTCCCAATCACCAACCTGGTAAATAATATATATTATATCTATATACTATCCTATTATAGGTTTGGTCACCACCATCCACATATCCACGTAGCGACGGCCTCCCACCAGCAACGTCGAACTGGTCGGAATGGCCTCCCGCACTAGAAAGTCCACCCCACTAGACAGCTGGGGAAATACATGGTGATCTTCGGGGTTGAGCCCACAACACTTATTTATATAAATATATATATATGTATATTTAGTATACGAATGTATATTATCCCGGCAAGAGACCCCAAACAGTGTGGTGAGTAAAAAGATCATTTATTATCATGTAGATGGTGATGTTAAAGTTGATGATGATGTTGATGATGGTGGTGATGTTGATGATGGCGGTGATGTTGATGATGGCGGTGATGTTGTTGATGATGATGATGGTGATGATGATGATGATGGTGATGATGATGGTGGTGATGATGATGAGGATGAGGATGAGAGGAAGATGATTATGTGGCTGTTGAGGAGGAAGATGATGAAGTTGAGGAGGATGATGTCGAGGACATTTCATAAGAGCCATTTTGTACGGAAATTTACAGGGAAAATGCCGGACAATTATCCCGCGGCCAGTGTTTTGTGCGAGCCTGCGCAGTTGAAATGCACATGGACATTTCACAAGAGGCATTTTGTGGAAATTTAGACGGAAAATGCCGGACGCCCCGGGTACCACCTCGATTGAACACCGGGCCTTAACACCTACCGTAAGAACCCCTCAGTGTGGCCAAACAGTTTGGGGAATTTTAATATGGTACCAACAAGATTTGGGATCTAACCAGTGTATATTAGTATAGTATAAGTATAGTATATTAGTATTACATATGGAGGTTTCCTAAAATGGGGGTACCCCAATAGCTGGATGGTTCATAATGGAAATTGGGTGTACCCCTATTTTGGGAACCCCCATGTAGTATATTGTAATATGTTACCAATAAGATTTGGGATTTAACCAGCAAAATGGGAACTGGATTACAAGAAAACTGATGATCAATGGATTGATCTAAGCGAAAACATGATAACGCTTCTGTCCAGGCAGGAGGTTTACCATATGAGCCATGGTCGAAATTTATTGTTAAGCGGAAGTGCGTCATCAAGTTAGTGAGCCCCCTATCGTTTTACAGGGTTTGGCGTTTTAATGATTTCTCAAGCTAATCTAGGCTATGACCATTGAAAAATATGGATTTCAGGCATCATTCAAGCTTGTCCTTTGGATTCATTCTTCGTTGGCAGTCAGTCAGCATCCGAGATCACCGTGTCCGAGTTTACTATTATTTAGCTGGTGAGTGGATTGCAATTTGGCACTTTAAGGGTGTTAGGCGCACTCTTGGCATCGTGATTTGACGGTGCATTTATCTTTCCGCCGTCCAAACAAGGATTGCTGTCACATATATACTTGGGTTTGACTGATGTTCCACTGCGTTTGTGGCCCTTTTCTTTCTCTTGCTTTCCAATCTTGAAGATTCGGAAAGCGCCGTTAGGCAATCTCAGCTGCAGCGCAGGCATAGCGTCCGTTTTCCATGGGCTTCATGGGCGTGAGGTGGCACGCCTTCTGACTGCCAGCTGCTGGGAGCACGGCATGTCACAGCACAGGGTGGCACGTTGGGTTCAAAACCTGCAATGGAGCAAGCAGGGATGGTTTTTCCTTGGAGCAAAACAGCCTGCAGGCAGCTGATTTGCCTGGATTGGCTGCCAGGCACTTCACCCGTTTTTAATAACCTTCATGGGCGTCAGGTGGCACTGTTCAGCTTGTAGCTAATGGGTTCATATCCACGTTCTGCACCTTCTTCATGGCACGTCACAGCACATTGGGTTCAAAACCTGCAAAGGAGCAAGCAGGGATGCTTTTCCTTGGAGAAAAACAGCCTGGAGGCAGTTGATTTGGTTGGATTGGTTGCCACTGCCAGCTGCTGGGAGCGGTAGGTCAGCTGGACGTAGAGCCAGTATAGTTCTGGATCTTCTGCATGGCAGGTGACAGACTGAGTAGGTCGAAACTCTAGCGGGATGTTGTCAGCAGCTGGTCTGTCTGGAAACTTCAAAAGCCAAGCCAAAGCACACGGCTCAGTCTCAAAGAATTTGGTCTTTTGATCATTCACACCAGGTTGCGACCGGAAAGCCTGGTATTTTCCAGACCTATCAGAATAAGGTGCTGCATGAAGTCCAAAAAACTAACCCCACAGGTATAAATGTGTTTTGCAACCATCCCACTATAGGTATACTATGGTATACTATGATTATACATTACATATACATACATATACATATACATACATATATATATACATACATATATACATACATACATACATACATACATACATACATACATACATACATACATACATACATACATACATACATAACATACAACATACATACATACAACATACACATACATACATACATACATACATACATACATACATACATACATACATACATACATACATACATACATACATACATACATACATACATACATACATACATACATACATACATACATACATACATACAACATACATACATACATACATACATACATACATACATACATACATACATACATACATACATACATACCATTACATTACATTACATTACATTACATTACATTACATTACATTACATTACATTACATTACATACATACATACATACATACATACTTACTTACTTACATACATACATACATACATACATGTGCTGACATGACTACGGAGAGCCGCTTTGCAGGAATGTAGAAACATACAGGAAAATGATACAATTTAAGCTTTCACCCCAAACCTCACCTTGCGTCAAATCGCACTGGAACTCTCTTCCGGGCCATTCTGCCTTCTGCTTAGTGGTCTTCTCAACCCAAATGGCTTCAAAAAAACAAACATCCCATCTCCATACACTAGGTTTTAAACAACAAATACGACACACGCACACTGCAAAACGTACAGTATCGTTTTTTGTGAGTCCCCTATCGTTTTAGGATGTTTCATGCAACAGCCAATATCTGATGCACACCCCAATACATATTTAAACAGCGCAAATTTTGACGGAATCTCATGTAGATTTCCGAAAATGGGGATCTCCAATAGCTGGATGGTTATATCATGGAAAATCCATAGATGGATGATTTGGGGGTACCCCCATTTTAGGAAACCTCCATATGGTGATTTGAAATGGTGATTAGAAATTTTGTTCAAGATTGAAAACAATCCGTATGAATGACTATTGACAATACCCAGTGAAAATTACACAGTTCACAACCTCTGTGTTCCATCCATCCAGGCCTGCGACGCCGCCGCCAGCTCCTTCTTCAGAGCCTGCACTTCCGACCTGGGATGCGCATGGGACCCAAGAAATATAGGGAGATATTGGGAATATCACAGGGACAGGGACATATATAAACATTATATAACATTACAATACTGTATATCATCATATAACAGACCAAAGTTAAACTTAACATCTTAACTTAGCTATGACAAATTTAATCAAAGTTGACTTACATAGTGGCTCTTCCCATTTGTAAAAGTCCAAACTGGTCAGAGATCCCTCCAGTCGTTTGTATGCGCATTGCTGTTTAAACTTGGTTAGTTAGGTCTCTCACAGACACGCCGAAGCTTCGAGCTCGCCAACCCTCCGTTGTACCCTTAGTGTGCCTTGTCTGTGAAGGAGAGCAGCATTGATTCTGCTAAACATGAATCTATGTTCACAGCTCGAGTTTGCACCAGGAATATTGAAAAACACATGTATGAATGAAAGGAAACATATGTTCACCGCTTTTTCATGTCTAAGGTAGGCCCAGCTCGATAATCCAAGCTGTTAGTAGAACCATCCATTTATGCTCCCAAAACCAGAGGCTAACCAGCCGTTTTTTGCGATGACTCACTGGAAATACGTACAGTATCTGGGCTTATTTTTTGCTTGGGACATGATGCATATTATTGTATCATATACATCAGGTACCAACAAGGACCATCTCACTGAGTACTATGTCTGTAATAACACTATATAGTACATTGTACCATGATGTACTATGTTTATATCATAATATATTCACATCATTTCATGTAAGCTACGATGATTTGCACTAAATGTTTGTCAAAATCCCAGCATTTCCACCCATTTCGGGTTGCATCGACCGGGCGGCTCTTGAACCAACGATTGGAGCCGCTGTATCATCTCAACCTACGCAGAGATTTTATCAAACGGCCAGAAAAGGTCGCCAGATTTCTAGCCACATCTTTATTTCAAGAAAACTCGGGGAATGTTCTTAAAAATCTAAAACCATCTAAGTGTTGGGCCTTGACATTGACAAATTGCTGTGAAAAAACGAGCAATGTTCATCAATTTTATAGATTATGGCCGTAGATTGGCTGAGAATCAAATGGTTTTGAAACAACTATCCAGGGAACCTCACATCTAGAACTGATCTAACATAGGTATTCAAAAAACAAGTATGCTTTAACTGCAAAATGGGGGTGGTAATCATGGCATAAATATCCATCAATGGGGTCTGGAAAAGTGCTTCGCCTCTTGAACACCTCGGAAATCAACAAAGCAGAACATCATGTCAAAATCGCTACATGCAAGGTGGGGCCCCTAGCTAAGTAGGTTTATAACTTCGTTAACTCTTGGATTTATTGGGATATAGCTATGTCTAATGGGGTTGATAAATCAATACTAACTCAACAGGCCCACCATCCTTATCGTTAACTTGCTATTGGGTCAATATCTATGACAGTAGGTTTCTAGAAATGCCATCCACTATCATGTCATAGAAACCTACTGAAAACCTGGAATAGGATTGGGTCAAGCCCAGAAATTGGAACTCGTTATCATAGGTTTCTAGAAATGCCATCCATTATCTAGACAGTAGATATTGACCCAATAGATATATTGACCCTATCATAGATATTGACTCAATAGAAATTCTATGCTGCCGTGGCTTTCAAGGCCCCTCTGAATTTGGATGATCCATGTCTATGGGGATCATGGGATGCCATACCCAAAAATGGACCTCGACGACTTCGCCTCGATGTTCCATCAGTTGATATCACCAAAACCCATCTGCTTGGTGGTTTTTCGCCACCCCTCTGAAAAATATGACTTCGTCAGTTGGGACAGTTGGGATATGTTGGAATTATGAAATTCACAATAGATGGAAAAATAAAAAACGTTCCAAATCACCAACCAGCCATCCCAAAATAGCTTCAAACACTTGCATCGTCGGTCTTCAGATTGTCCATCAGTTGCTTTTTGTCTGTGAAAATGCTCAAGCAACTCAACAACCCCTGCAAATCGTTGACTTCCTGCGTATTGAAGCCCCAAATCCGAGTTTACCACATTTTTGCCCATACGCATATTTGGATATATATATATATATATATATGTGAATGGTCAAAATACCATTGTTTCCCTAATCTTTCCCTCACGAAGCGAGGAGACCTCTCGCTCAGCACGCTTTTGCTGCCTGGCAGGACCGGGCATCCACCCTCTGGTGATTTTGCATAGCTATGGAAACGAGTCATTGTTCATTCACTGGTTGGTGGTTTTAACCATCTTGAAAAATATTAGTCAATGGGAAGGATTATCCCATATATTATGGAAAAAAAACATGTTCCAAACCACCAACCTGATAAGATCTAGATCTACATAGTTGAAATAGATTTAAATAGGTAATCTACACAATAGATATGTTTAATAATCGGAGGATATCGGAGGGTATATGGGTCCTCTTTCCACGGCACAATTGACAAACGTGGCCCCCCCACCCCGAACCGTCTCATCAGTCGGCTTGTCCATTACTGAAGAATGCGAAGGGCAATTCCCCTTCACCAATGGATCACATCTTGGCGTTGGTTTGGGCCAGCGCGAAAAATATTAAGATCTAAGTGGTCCTTGGGTTTGTTTTTCCCAACTAAGGTTGGGGATTGAGAATGGGTGAAGCCGCCAATACGACCATGTCATGGCTTAAATTCCCGTCTGTTTTGATTTTAGTCAATGAGATCCACATAGATCATAGGTAGATCATGGTAGATCCACCATCTCTATCCATGCTGGCAAAACCATGTCACATAAAGTTTTTCGACCAGTCCGTTTTCGGCCGCCAACGTCGTGCCAGTGGTACTGCAATTCCGCTCCACGGCCATAGGCCAAAAGCCTCAGTTCACCAGCTTGGTTCAGAGGGATTGGTAACGAAACAAAACATGTCTCTCTGTCTGGATGTCAGGATGTAGGTGTATATGGTTCATCATATTGTTGGTTATATATGGTTATATATCCAATAAAACTAAAACATGTTAAAATTTCTGGGGGAAATCCATAAAATCCCTATTCTGCCCTGCTGTAGACATATATCCCACTACACCACAATAATATTCCCTATCTTGTCCTTGTTTTTTTTGTGGGTTGCTGTTGCTATACATAAAGTTGGTTATGTTGCTTGGCTACATCCCATTATATCCAATTAATCCTATTAAGTCCAACTATATCCATTATATCCCCATCGTTGATGCTTAAACATGGTTAAGTCATGTTAAATCCCAAACAGATATTGTTGATTACATCACCATATTCAGTTACCCTCTGGTAAACTAACACAACTATGGAAAATCACCATGCTATTAATGGGTAAATCAGCGAACTAAATGGCAATTTTCAATAGCTATGTAAACGTTTACCAGAGGGTATATCCATTGTTAATCTATCCATTACAGTATTGATGTGAAATCCAAGGCCAACAACAGCCCGAACGTGGGCCCCGTGGAGTTTTTTCGCGGCCCAAGGGACATGTTGTTGGCGATGGATCTTCTCCGCGCGGTGGCTTCCTCGCCCACCACATTCCTCTGGCGGTTTCTTATGGGGGATTGAATGGGAGTTCAATGGAGGTTTAATGGAAATGTATAGAATGTAGATGATCTGGTTGGTGGTTTTTTGCCATCCTCTGAAAAATGATGGACTTCGTCAGTTGGGATTATGAAATTCCCAATATGATGGGAAAAATAATCCATTCATGTTCCAGTCACCACCAACCAGGTATAGAATGTAGATGATTGTGGATGTAGAAAAAACATGGTGATTTATTTCATTGGATGTTTATCATGATGGGGATCTGAGGAGATTTCATGGGATTTTTTTGGTGATCAATAGCTAATATAGCTAATGGCTGCTCAATAAGGAAACTAATGGCGGTTTAATGGTGGTTCAAAGGAAATTTCATTGGACATTTCCGACATTTCCTGGAATGGAGCAACCCCTGTGGCAAAAATCCCATTGAAATCCCATTGAGTCTTATTAAATCCCATTAAATCCCATTGAAATCACATTAAACCATTGGACATTTGTTTATTGGTTGAGGAGCAACCCCTGTGGCAAACAATGGCATGCAACCATCAGTTGGGATCATCATCCCATTTCTAACGAGTTGAAAATCAACTGTTAGAAACCACCAAACCAATTTATATAGTGCCAGTTAAGGTACCCTCTGGTAATTTAACATAGCTATTGAAAATGGCCATTTATAGTGGATTTACCCATTAAACATGGTGATTTTCCATAGTTATGTGAGTTTACCAGTTAAGGTATTTCATGGAATTGAATTAAATAGGGTTCTATTGGGAGTTGATGGGAATTAATAAGGAATAGTGAACCATCAAATGGCAATGTGCATGGCAATTGTAGATTCGTGTTAATTGTCAGGATTTCATGCGGATTTATTCGCTAGTCAAGTCCCAGTTTTTGTTTTGGAGAACTGAGATGTCCTAGTTTTGGGACACCTACTAGGTGTGTTTTTTCTGAAATCCGTTGGTTCTGGCAGTACCGAAAAAATGGACCCACAATATATAAATTGCATATGTTCCATCAAACAAAATCAATTACCACTGAAATTCAATTAAATAATTCCCATTGCATCCTCTCAATTCATCATTAATCCCACCACCTAGCACCCCAACCCCAATCAACCCCCATTAACCACCATATAATCCGCCTAAAATCCAAGCAAGTTCCTTTCAGCCCACATTGAAAACTGCATCAAAACCACATCGAGACCCTTTTTTTTCCCATCCAGATCCCCCCCGGAAGCTACCTCAGAGCCGCCGTGATGGAGGCGTCGTGGTCTGCCCTCATGAGCGCAACAAACAAATAAGTAAGCGACCATTGTTTGAAATTTTTAAAAGTGTAAATAATGGGATTTCCAGGGAATTCTATTGGGATTAATGTGGGTTAAATGGAATTTACAGTTAATGTTTTCACTGTTAAAAAATCGTGTAGTTGCCAGGGATTCATGTGGGTTAAATGGAATTTACAGTTCATGTTTTCACCGTTAAAAAATCGTGTAGTTGCCATGATTTAATATATGATGATATACCGGGGATACATATGTGTAGAGTTCACAAACCATGTATGGGGATGGGAAATTTACATCGGGATGCTTTCATGGAATTTCATGGGACATGGATGAAACCTCCCAACCCAACAAGAATAGGTGAAAACTAGAGATACCCTACTTGCACAGAACCGGACTTCGGCCCGGAGCCCACGCCTGTAGCAAAAAATGACTCTTTTCCCAGCGAAGTCTGTGAAGGGTTGTTGCCGTGAGTTACTGGGAAGCCAGAATCGTGGCATTTTAGCGAATTATACACACTGTTTTACGTGGTGGCAGATTTTCTGTAGATCCTTTATGTATAATTATTGTTTTACAAAGTATATCCATGATTATTACACCCTTCTACATATTGCTTTAAGGGGGGTGGCAAATTTTGACCCTTCACGTATATTGTTTTACACGGTACACCCAGTATTTTACCCGTTTACATCTTGTTGTAGCGGGTGGCAGGTTTATACCCTGCATTTTTATGTATGTATGCTGTTTTTTCAGATCATATCCATTACTAGTATAACCTTCTACATATTGTTTGAGGGGGAATGGCAGATTTATACAATGTAGTTGTGTTATTTGTACCCCGTGTTGATGACAGAGATGTGAAGATTGTGGTAAAAGTAAGTAAAAGTGGTAGATTATGTCATGTTGGGCGAACGTTAGGTTCTGCGGGTACTATTGTACACCAATTCCAAGATGTTTGGATTTAACTCTCCCAAGGTATGGAGAAACAACATGATTGAACCATCAACCGTGGGGACAATATATACATGACATTTGTTGGGCTTTATCCTCTCATGTGTTAGTATATACAGTATACAAAATTCATGGTTGATTGGATTGAACCATCAAACATTCGGCCTTCAACCAATTCTAAGATTTGCGCGTCTGTAAAATACTCCCAAAATATGAAGACAACGCGATGAAAAAACACATCAATCATAGAAATATGGACTACCATCATGAAAATACTACTGGCGACAATGGAATTCAAGATAACCAATTTCAAAACACCAATAATGGAGATGTAATCGCAAACAACGGGATGCAGTATACCTTGGGGAAATGTGGCGAACCTACTCGGTTTCACTTCAGGCAATCAGGAATCACATTGTGGGTGTAAATCAGTGAATCAGTAAAGCTAACTCGGGGTTCCAATTCCAATTGGTAAGATTTTTGGGAACCACGTGAGAAACCCTGGTAGATATATACATATACATACGTATTGTAGTGATATATACAATAAAATCATCGATATTGTGTATTCAAAACCGCAAAACATGGCTAATCATCAAATTATCCAGCGACCAACAAGGATCCTTGAATCTTTGGTTGTTTCTCAGCTTCATATTAATTTAATTTTTAGATATGTCCACGTTGGTTTATAAACCCCAGTAACTATAGTTATAAGAACCATAGGCCGGAGTTATGTTTTTTTTGTTGCACCAACTTAGAGATTCCTTTGGGGACCCCAAAAAAACAACGCTGAAGCGAAACGCCACCAGGCTCCCAAACGATTTTACTCCAAGGTCTACCTTGGATGATGTCAATAGGGACATACTATAAGGACAATGTATTACAAGAAACATACAGTATTCATCGATATGCTGATCTTCAGAAAAAACAAATGGAAAAAAACAGTGAGAGATACTGACTCATTACGCACATTGCACAAGAGAATTAGTTTAAGACAAGCGCTGCTGTAACAGAATTTGCATCTCTCTAGTCGTGATCAGTCCGACTGGGAGGTGCATCCAATTTGACATGGCGCATTGGAAAGGACACTCTATCAAAAAAAACAACAAAAACCCGATGAGGTTCCTTTTGTCTGAACTCAAACATTCTTAACAACAACAAATCGCAAACGTACAATTTTGTGGTAATTAATACCGGGTTAATGCTTAAAACCCCGACCAAAACAACCAACTGAGAATGGAAACCATCATCCTAGCTAGAATGGAACATCTGCCGTGTCAAAAAACAAACAAATTGGTAATTTAATTACCATTATAAGTCATTATACCAATTTTTCTGTACTTAAACCACCATGTTTGTTGGTAAACTCCCAACACCGTTACGTGAGTATGGGTTACGGTTAAACCTACTTGGTTATTGGGGTCTCCAATTTTGATCCAAAGGGAGACCGCCCCCCACCACTTGAGGCCCCTACGCGCATCCGGGCCAAGTAAACGTCTGGGATGGGGATTGACCAATCCTGGGTTATGGCCGTATATGGATGGTTCCAAACACTGGAGTGGGGAGCCTTAACTACGACCATATTGGGGTTTTCAAACTCCGACTCCAATGTGTTTGCTAACCACGTCTGCTTAAGGGTCTTAACTTCGGCTCGTTTGGGGTCTTAGCCCCGACATACCCCGACTGTTTTGAACCAGGCCGACTTAGAGCCCCAAGCTCCAAATGGAGCCGATTTGGAGCTCCAAAAAGTGGTGCCGCGGCTGCATGCGTAATACTATTGTCTTTTGCAGCTGGGGAAAAATCGATGGGCGTTTCTGTGGACCTGCAAATGGAGCTGCGCCTTATTCAGAGCCCCAAATGGAGCTGGAACTGGAAATGGAGCTTCAAAGAGCTGGAAATTGAGGTGGCAGCTGCAACTGCCCAGCACCTGAGATTTCGGGGTACAGCGACAGCACAGCTCATTTCTATTTAGACTATTCAGTGAGTGGGAGAGACAGACAATCTTCCCAGGCCTGGTTAAGATTGGTTAAGTATTCTCGGGAGGACTAATTAACATCAAATTTGAGGGTCTAGGTCCTGGTTTGTCCAAGGTACACACCTCCAGTTCCCTCCCCACGCTTCAAGTGTCTGGAAGCTGGCTGAGCATTGAGCTCCATTCGGAGTTCCAAATAATAATAGACCCGCCAGCTCCATTTGCAGCTCCAAATAAAGCCGCCAGCTCCATGTCCAGCTCCAAATGGAGCCGCCAGCTCCATTTCCAGCTCGAGTTGATTAGCTTGCATTGGAAAATAGATTCGCGACAGCTGCAGGTACTTTGCTAAGCCTTAACTGGTGGGAAACGAGGATCTTGTTGATGCAACCTATACTTTCATCAAAGGAAGTTGGGAAGCAATCTTCCGAGTTACGGAGAAATAGAGTTGTGATACCTTACATCACAAAACAATACATTCATGAAGGGTGGTGTGATACCCTAAATCACAAAACAATACATTCATGAAGAGTGGTGTGATACCTCACATCACAAAACAATACATCCATGAAGGGTGGTGTGAAAACTTACATCACAAAACAATACATCCATGAAGGGTGGTATGATACTTTACATCACAAAACAATATCCATGAAGGGTGGTGTGGTTACTTAGATAGACTTGTGATGCCTTACATCACAAAACAATACATGCACTCAGGGTGGTGTGGGGACTTCTGAAAGTGTGGACAATACATTCATGAAGGGTGGTGTGATACCTTACATCACAAAACAATATATCCATGAAGGGTGGTGTGGTTACTTAGATAGAATTGCGATACCTTACATCACAAAACAATACATCCACGCATGGTGGTGTGGGGACTTATGGAAGTGTGGACCTAGGGAAGTGGTGACGAAGGGAAGTGGTGACGAAGGGGTGTTCAACTTCTGCAACGTGTGGTTGTTCATGTGTGCGCTTGTTGAATCGCAGGTTGCAAATCGCATTGTAATGGCTGCATGAATCTTGCGTGGTACTCTTGTTGGGGAGGAAGCCGGAGCACGAAACCTTGTGTTTTGCCGTGTAAAGTGGCTGCAGCCGGCGATGACAGGTAGCTCGTGTGTGCGGCGGGTGCGGACGGTTCGTTTTGACGTGTGATTGGTTCTCCCTTGGTGTTCTGCAACGTGTGGTTGTTCATATGTGCGTAGTTCTATGCGCTTGTTGAATCGCAGGTTGCAAATCGCATTGTAATGGCTGCATGAATCTTGCGTGGGACTTGTGTTGGGGAGGAAGCCGGAGCACGAAACCTTGTGTTTTGCCGTGTAAAGTGGCTGCAGCCGGCGATGACAGGTAGCTCGTGTGTGCGGCGGGTGCGGACGGTTCGTTCTGACGTGTGAGTGGTTCTCCCTTGATGTTCTGCAACATGTGGTTGTTCGTAGTTCTATGCGCTTGTTGAATCGCAGGTTGCAAATCGCATTGTAATGGCTGCATGAATCTTGCGTGGGACTTGTGTTGGGGAGGAAACCGGAGCACGAAACCTTGTTTTGCCGTGTAAAGTGGCTGCAGCCGGCGATGAAAGGTAGCTTGTGAGGCGTCATCTTGCAGATCGTGGACAAGCCCCTGCTTGGCTGAAGAGAACGCAGGCAGGGCGCGCCGCTCAACCTAAGACGACTTTCGTCTCCTATTCTTTCAGCGAGCTCGACGTCGAAGAGGCTGACACCGCTTCGGCAGCGTTCCTCTCACCTCAGACACCGATTGGGGCACAGCCAAGATTTAGGAATGATTGTTTGTGCGGCTCTACTTGGAGCTTGGAACTAGAAATGGAGCTGGTCCAAAAGAGCCGCGAGCTCCAATTAGAGCCGCCAGCTCCGCTTCCAGCTCCGCTAGCTCCATTTCTAGCTCCATGCTCCCATTTCTAGCTCCAAGCTCCGCCAGTTCCATCTCTACCTCCAAGCTCCAAATAGAGCCGCCAGCTCCGTGGAGCTCCAAATAAATAGAGCCGCCAGCTCCATTTCCAGCCCCACCTCCAGGTAGCGACCTCTCTATTTCTAGCTCCAAGCTCCAAATCCGCCACCTCACCTCCAAATAGCTCCCAGCGCCAAGTAGAGCCTTGGAGCTAGAAATGGAGCTGGCGGCTCCGTTTGCAGCTTGGAGCTAGGAATGGAGCTTGTGGCCCTGTTTCGAATTGGAGCTAGAAATGGAGCCGGCGGTTCTATTTGGAGCTTCGAGCTAGACATGGAGCTGGCGGCTCTACGGAGCTAGAAATGGAGCCGGCGTTTGTTGGGCGCTCGCCGAGGACAGTAGTTGCAGGTTGTCGGAATTCCTGGTGGTCTTTCCATAGCAATGGTGCCACTTTTCTGGGCAATTCTGCTGCGGCGGCAGCAAGCAAGCGCAAGAACCAAAGTGAGCAAAGCAAGGCCGCAGCGGCATGGCTTCCAGCGCGACTAATATATTTAGTGGCTTCAGGCCCTGGTGGGGTATGAAATGGTTGTGCATATGCTCCATTCCAGCGGCCAGTCCCTTGGCGACAAGGAGCTGCGCCTCACTGCCATGTCCTTGGTCCACCTGATTGAAGTAACACATGTAGCGAACAGAAGCATTGCTCCATGACCATCGCGCAGACTCCTGGGTCGTGATAAACATCTTCAAACTTCGCAATGTTTGGGTGGCCGGCCAATGTCTGCAGCGCATGTACCTGTTCAAGCACAGGACACAGGGACCACTTTTTTAGCAAAATTAAGCCAAAGGAGCTACCTTACTGAAAAACTTAACAGGGAACTCCGTTTTTTGGTGGCTAACCCGTTTTGATGAATACACAAAAAAAAGGCTTTCAGATGGCTTTCACTTCTGCGCTTTTCAAGTGCAAGTAAGATGCCTCGGAGAAAATTGTTTTCTCCACCTTGTCAGAAGACGAATTGTCAACATCAAACGTGACAATCTTCACGCAGGTCTGAGGTTGTCCGTCAGACTTCACAGCAAGACCCTGTCCGAAGGTTCCTTTGCCGAGCACTCTGCCCAATCGCAGCTTTTCAGATTCCCGCCGCAACCACAGAGCTTGGATCTAGAAATAAATGGAGCTAGCGGCTCTATTCGGAGCTTGGAACTTCAGTTGGCCTGGTTCAAAACAGTCGGGTTAAGAAACCGCAGTCGGAGTTAAGACGCCCTGTGCCGGAGGACCTTGGCTGGCAAATCGATATCTCAATGATCTATATCTGTGGTCATCCTAAATTTAGATTCTTAGGATGTATGAAATATGTTTGTTTGATGGGAGCAAATTGCCTTTCAAACTGAATCACTATTTGTCCAAGCTAAGGAAGCTGTGTAATATTATCCACTTGACTCGCCTTTCTCAGGTCTACCAAAAGATACCACTGATTGGCCAAGGTGTAAGCCCTTCAGCTTTAATCATGTTGGTGCAATATCCTCCGGTGTCAAACCTGGTCAGCCACGAAATGCCCGAACTAAATGGAGGTGTCTCATCCCCCACCGGGTGCCAACAAAAATGCTGCAATCTGGGGTTCCCCGGCACGTTCGGCTTCCTTCATCCTTCGTGCGCGGGGAGCGTTTTAATGGGGTATATGGTCATCCCATCGGAAGCCACAGATCTCTGCCTGTAACTGACAAACCATGGCAAAATTTTGGGGGAATATACTGTTCATATACTGTTAATAATGGTTAATATATGGTTATTATATGGTTAATGATGGCCAATAATAATCTGGTTAGTGGTAGACCTACCCCTCTGCAAAATGATGGAGGTGTCAAGTCAGTTGGGATGATGAAATTCCATTTTCAATATGATGGGAAAAATCATCCAGTCATGTTCCAGTCACCACCAAGCAGTTTCTTAACGGGCATATGAATCCCCAAGAATTCTACTCGCCATCCCTCGACACGGGCAAAAAAAACTCGCCAAGTTCTGTCCCAATATATGACACAACATGGCGAATCTGTGCTGATCTGTGCTAGAAAAAATGGTTATATCATATATCCCCACTCAAAATGGCAAAGGATTATGAAGTGTTATAAACTGTAGATATACAATTATACAATGAAACATAGGCCTCCGTTGGTTCAAAATCGAAATCTCATATGAGCAAATGCGGTATTTTTTTCCAATGCCAGGTTTCTTCTCACCTTCGGCTTGTTTACTATATAGCTATGGAAAATTGCCTTTGGATTGATGATTTACCTGTATTTACCTACACATAATAATGCTGATTTTCCATCGCAAGCTGCTAGTTTTCCAGACGGTAACCTACAAAGTACCCTCTGGTAATCAAAAGAGTTTGCTATGATATAGATGGCCGGTTTGCTATGGTATATACCTATTGAAAACTGGTTGGTGGTTTTAACCATCTCGCAAAATATGAAAGTCAATGGGAAGGATGACATCCCATATATTATGGAAAATAGTCCTTAAATGTTTGAAACCACCAACCAGGCTATCACATCATAGTTGGTTTACATGATGTCTTATCCGTGATATCTCAAAAAATACTACCATATTACAGTCCATTTGAAAAACATATATATATATGGCCGGTTTGCTATGGTATATACCTATTGAAAATGTTGATTACCCTCTGGTGAACTAACATAGCAATGGAAAATCACCATTTTTCATGGGAAAATTCAGTATAAATGGTGATTTTCAATTGCTATGTTAGTTCACCAGAGGGTAAATTACCAGAAGGTCCAAAGTTCCATCAAACTTCCAACATTCCCACGGAGGTCAGGACGCAGCCAGCGCCTTTCCGTGTCGGTCGAGTGGCTGTTGCAGTTGGTCCGCCTGCTTCTTCTGCGTCACTTGGGCCTCACCAACGGTGCTGTCAGGGCTTCTTGAGATGGTTTTCGGTGGTAAGTGGATTTGTTTCCCCTATTCTTGTATATACTTAACATTGGTTAATAGTGATATATAAGGATTTCTTGATAAGGTTTAGATTTGGGAGTAGAAGTAGCTTGGCATGGTAATGTTGGTGTTTTGGTGGTGAAATGGTTAATTATTCTTGAGAAAAGAAGTGAGAAGGTTGGGATTTCTTTGGGCAGTGAGGTTTTTCGATGTGCAAATACAGCCTACTCAACTTGATCCTTTTGTTCGAATGAAATACCCTCTGGTAATGACTAACATAGCTATTGAACATGGTGATTTATAGTGACATTTCCCATTAAACATGGTGATTTTCCATAGTTATGTTAGTTTGCCAGAGGGTATTTGGTGTCAGGATCCGCGTGGAAAAAAACTGATATTGTGATTCTGTCAAGTCTAGTGCCAACATCGGCAATTACAAAGCCCCAGAATAAAATGATCCTCGTGTCCCCATTCAAATTCAGGTGATTCATCCATCAAATGGTCACGTCGTCCAAAAAATGTCCCCATAGCCATTTGGGTGCTACATAAATCTCCTCGATTGAAGGGGTTCCGAAAATTCCTTCAGGACAGGACTTCTGGATGTTCACCTTTCCAGGACAGCAGGTTTTGGACCCATATAAAGCCATATTGAAATGACACCATATTTATTACCCATATTTGGTATTTATATATATATATTATATACGAAGGTTTCTATAACATACCCTCCCAAATCATTCCATTTTTTTGAGGATTTGTTCCATTCTAAACTTTCTAAACCATCCAGCTATTGGGGTACCCTCGGATACCCCGATGGAAACCCCCGCGCCTTGTGCGTGCTGTCCGTGATGTTGCTGATCAAGGAGGCTAGAGAGACGCTCGTCGCCTCGGTTCATGTTGAAAAATGGACATCTCGCTGCGAAGGATGAGTTTTGCCCACAGCATTTTTGGGGTTTCAACCCACGAATATAAGGCTTTAAGCATCAAAACATCATGATTTGACCATCAAGATTGGGGAGTTAAGCATCAATAACGGGGATTTCATCTCTGACATTAGAGGAATTTAGCAGCACAAATGGGGAATTATAACATAAGTTAATAAGCATCGAACATTGGCATTTGACCAACAGTAAATAGAAGCTAAACACATGTTTTGTTTACCAGCTGACTTTGAGGATATTTCAGGTATAACAAACTTGCATAGGTCTTTTGAAGCTGGAATGGCAAGGACTCAAGTGATCATCGCAACCCCAATCTGGAGCTTCTCCCTCATACAGCAAGCTAGGGGCCACCAAGGCTTCCTTTCCGTTTTGAACGCCGACGCATCTGCTGAACATATCTGCTTAAGCCCAAAGTCGGTTTTCTTGGACCGTGGCGGCGTGTCTGTGCTGCCCGCGTGCCATGGCTCAGATCTGGGCGGATTTGGTCGCTTTGGAAATGATCCGCCAAGACCAATTTCAATATCTTGAGGTACCCTCTGGTAAACTAACTATTGAAAATGGTTATTTATAGTTGATTTACCCATTGAAAATGGTGATTTTCCATAGTTATGTTAGTTTACCAGAGGGTATCTGTTCCTGTGCAGAATCATTCCAACTGAACCAGCGCAGAAAAAGTTTCGGAATTTGACAAGTGGTTCCACACAGCCTCCTGGGAAGTACCTCGTCACAATCCCAAGTCATCAATCCAACATGGTTCCTGCATTGGCATTCTCCCTGGCAAGCATCACTTCCAAGAGCCTGGTACCTATGTCAGGTCTTTGTCAGGCCAGTGAATGTCCCGGTCAACAAATGTGGCCTGTGATGGCTCATTACGAATACTTGTGTTGGGATCTGAATGAACAATTTATACCACTGTTGTTGGGTTGGGATTTGTTACATAGTAACATATAGTAACCCCAAGAAGATAGAAAAGAAGTTTACCACTATTTTAGTTGAATTTTACTTTTCCAACTTTTTTGGCAGTTGCTATGGGTATTTCAGGAAACTACCGGGTGGAACCTGGTCAGACTATAGGTATTTCAAGGGATCCTTCCAGTGTCCCCTCCCCAAAAGATGTCACTCGCGGTCACTGTTATCACTGTTACATGCGGGATGCGATCTACACAAACATGGCTTGATAGCCAAGTGATGTTGGTCTGATGTTTGGCCAAGAGCATGGTGTTTTTCTGTGCTCCAACAAGATCTTTATTGGATGAGTCCCAGTTGACATCGGCTGGTTTCCACATGTTTTTTTCTGGATGAAACATCATTCACTCACCTGAAGAATTCAGCACAGGGACAGTTACCTCTACGAAAGTGTATCCATCAGTCAGGTGACGTCGATATTCGTCGAGATTTGTTGTTGTTGATTTGCTGTTGAACCATCTACCCTCTGTTGTTTAGCTATAGGAAACAATGGTTCACCATAGCTATACCTGTAAAACTATAGATGTAAAATCATCGATTATATAGTTGTTGAACTATCTAAATGCTGTCCAAATTAGCTATAGGAAACGGCCCAGTTAGTTCGATGATTCACCTACGTAAAATTTCCATGGTGATTTTCCAGTTCGCACAGTGTTGAATTACCAGAGGGAATATTCCGTGATATTTTTGTTGTTGAATATATATGATGGAAAAAATGAAACATGTATGATTTAATATGTTTACATGGGATATGTCACGATATTTCGAATAATATTCCATAAATCCCATGAATATCCCGTGTATATTCCATGATATGTCAATAAATCCCATGAATAATTTGGGGGGGTTCCACAATAAATGGCTGGTACCCCATAAATCAATGGCTGGATGGTATACCCTCTGGTAAACGTTTACATAACTGATGGGAAAATCACCATGCTATTCATGGGAAAACTCACTATTTCTATGGCCATTTTCAATAGCTATGTTAGTCATTGCCAGAGGGCAAGTTCCATGAATCCATATTGATCACCATAAAATCCCACTAAAAACCCATTAAAATCCCATTAAATCAATCGCTGGATGGTTTATTTCATGGCAACCTCCCATAAAATTATGATCCAAGGTGCTGGACGTGATGCCTGGGATGAGATGCCGATAGCGGCTATCAGTTGGTGCAGAGGACTCCAATTTCTCTATGGTTTAATTATTATACTTATAACGATAGTTAATAGATGTTAATAGGGTTTATAGGTTTATTATACTATATTGTACTTACAATTTACGAAATAACGATAAACCACATTTTGTTAATAGGATACTAGACCTAGACCATAATTTTGTATATGGTTTCTATTATTTTTTATGGTCATGTTTATTTTTGTTGGTTAATAGATGTCAATAGGGTTTATAAACGAACAAACATAACTGGGGCCCACTAACTGTAGATGCTTATGATACGCAAATAACAATAGTTTTCATGGGCTTTATAAACCAACATCTGGGGGCGCCCCACTAACTGTAGGATAATATAACCATCAGTGAAATATAGCAGTACAAAATATATGGTGTGTATATATATATATATATTATGTTTACTTTATATGGGATATATATATAATATATATATACACATAAGTTTCAATCAACCGAAAACTCTAAAGTGAATGAGGATAGTGATCGACAAGAACAGAATTCATGTAAGCATTTCACTCTATCCGATAAATGATGTTGTTTCCTTGTTAATGGGGGAGACCATTGGCTTTTGCCTTTAAGTTGTTTGTGTGTTTGTTGCGTAGAAAGTTCCTTGATGGGAGTATGGGTCTCTTGAAAATAGGTTACAGTATGCCCAAATATGGCTGGTTAGGTGGTTGACCTACTGGGATGATGAAATTCCCAATATATGGAAAAATCAAAAATGTTCCAAACCACCAACCAGATGGTTATTTTAAAGTACAAAGTAATGATCAGCAGCCATCAACATTTTCGGGTCACCTATTTCCAGAAAACAAAGAAAAAACATGCACAGCCAAAAACAACAGGTGGTCAATGGTTGGTACAGGAAATGGTTGGTATATATATATATGTATATAAGTAGGAAAAAACAAAACTTCTGATAGCTTGAAGAATGGCAAAAATGATTTTGTACAAACAATGTTGTGGGATCTATTTCTTAGGGTACACCATTAAACCCCAAAACGCTTTGCATAATGCTTTGCATCACGCTTTGCATCTGTTTTTTTGTTTTCAAACCTGGGAATTCGAGACGGGGTACATAGTTCTATGTCATTGAACGTACAAATTTGCTATCATTAATGTGCTTGGGAAACTCGTAGGGTAGCTCCTTGGCCCTAAAAAAATAACAATACGAAGACAAAAAGCTCCGACCTGCCCCTAACGATATGTTGGTATTTGTTGACCCTCATTTGATAAATGAAGGTTTCCTAAAAAAGTGGTACCCCCAGTTCTCATCCATTTTAGTAGAATTTTCCATTATGAACCATCCAGCTATTGGGGCAGGAAACCTCCAAATTGGCCCATAATCAACTTTAGTCCCATCTTTAACGACTCATATCCACAGATGTTTGACACACAGAGTCTACATGTCAATTTTTCCAAAAGAGTACCAGAACAACATGAATCACCAAAAATGAACATTCAAATCATCAAACATTTCTACTGTAAATGGAAGCTACCCTTTGGCAAACATCGCTGCTTCCAAAACCCACCCCTTTGATGACTTTTCCCAGCTACCAAAACCTCCACTGATGGGTGGCGTTCGCATGAAGAAACCTCCATATGTATATATATATATGTATGGTTGGTGGTTTGAACCATCTTGAAACATGTGAGTTCATCCATGGGAAGGATGCCATCCCATATATGAAATGGAAACATCATCCATTCATGTTCCAAACCACCATCCAGATATATGTATGTATATATATGTATACATATATATTATATGTATGCATATATCGGATTTCCCGTTTAAAATCCTTGATTTGATAAGTAAATGAACGATTTCGCCAAAGAAAAAAATGGGAAAATTGTCCCCATGGATTTACCCCAGTGGCGCCTCTGGAGGACGGCTCGTGTTCTCTGACCTCATGGAATTCTGCTGTCGCTAGTTCATCATCTCTATTGGACCTATGGATTATGGCAATGGTTTATGGATCTTTATGGATCTTTATGGCTGATTGGATAGTTGTTAAACATGCCTAGAGACAATGTTTTGGGACCTGAAATTTCTGGTTTTCAATCAAGAAAATCATGCGCCAGATCTTCGAGGTGCATCATGGGGCGGATCCAATGCACAAAGGCCACAGTGGTTTGAACCAAGTGCTCCTGGTGGAGCCTTATCATTTAAAGTTTGCTTGGGCTTTCGCAGATGTTCCCAGCTCTACAACTTCGAATTACCCTCTGGTTATGACTAACAGTTTGCCATGGTATAGATGGCCCATTTATAGATGGTTTATCTATCAAAAATGGTGATTTTCCATCGCTATGTTAAATAACCAGAGGGTACATTGTATAAATTGATTATCAGTACAAGTTTGCTATCCCCATCTATATTCCATCCTTGGCATATCATTTAGCCATGTTTCTATGGCTTGCATAGATTGGTTTCCTATACATAAACATCACATCAGTGCCCAACCAAAGATTTCTTTCAGCGATGTTTGACCCCCAAATTCAAAGGTCATTTCAGGAACCTAAATTGGAGGTACCTACCATATATATATAAGGCCTATATAAGGCCTATGTAAGGGGATATACCCTCAAAATATGGCCTGAAAAATGGTACTAACGTACCTCCATTTTAGGATCCTGTAATTCCCATTGACAAATGCAGAAACATACTTTTGGTGGGTGAAGCCACCAAAGATCTTCGATGAACTCAGCACCAACGAGTTCCCAACACGGAGGGTCGCTTCTCATCACTATTCGCTGTGGCCGTAGCGGACCTCGGAAATCGCAAACATGCTGAATAGAATTGTTAAATGGGTATATATAGTAGCCACCAAAAGGATAGAAAAGTCAATCCTCACTATTTAGTGGGATAATTATATTAGTTATATACCTATCTATCTTTTTTGGGGGGATTACTATATTATACATATATATATAATGTATATGACTGATGGCTGATTTTCCGAGAAATCATGGCACCAGGTTCCAGTGAGTTTACCGCTACGAATATAACTTGAAAATTGTAATTTATATAATCCATTTTGAATATAAATGATTAAAATTACTGGGTCTATGAGTTTATTAAATAATAGCTGGCTTGTACGAATATAACTTGACTCACCCACATTCTTCGAAATCCAATAACTTTTGGATCTGGCAAGGGGATGCTATGGGATGGCTTGCAGAACACTCAAAACAAGATTCAAACACAATCCGATGAATCAAGTTGTCGCTTGGGTATGGGTCAACATTGGATACCCCAACAGTTCTAGATGGTTAATTTTTGATATACAACAAATACGAAAACTAGATTCAAATCTACGTGCCCTTGTTGTTTTCGATGGGTTCACAACATCATTGGTGCCCTTTGCCATCGTCCCATAGCGCGCCATCGCAAAAAAGCGATCGATCATTGCAGGGATGAAACCTCCCAATGGTTGATCCATTACCAATCCAGAAAAACATCTACATGGGATCTGGTTGGTGGTATGCCTACCCCTCTGAAAAATATGAGTTAGTCAGTTGGGATCATGAAATTCCATATATTGTGGAACATAATCCAAATGTTCCAAACCACCAACCAGAGATGACCAATGGGATCTTCCATTGCAGGGATATAACTTGATAAATGGCTGAACTTTCAGAAAGTTAGTCTGAAATTCATAGAGTTTAAGCCCGATATTAAGTGGCTATAGGGACAATGATGAGGAACCAGCGAATGGAATGGGGGGATCCCTTTTTTCAGACAACCCCAGCTTTGTTCAGAACACATAAACCTATCAACCATCACCAACCCCAGAGATGAAAGAGGTGATGATCAACCGTCATTCACTTATGAATTGAATGCATATTTTGGAAAAAAATCCGATGGGGATCCAAACTACCCTAAAGATTGGATGTCTTATACATCTTGATGCCATAGGCAGTGTGGTCCACGTTCTTCAAGCGCTCATTCGCTAGGGCCACTTCCATCCGTGGAACCAAAGCATTAGAGGGGCATGGCACAGCCCAGGGGGTTCTGATAACACGGGTGGTGCAAAACTTATTGGCACATTCGGGGCACTCTCGAAAGCAGAGTCGAGCTTCCCGATGCTTTTAGCGTATCCTGTGCCGGCAGCGCTTGCAGTCATTCTCGCATCTTTCCTTCGAGCAGCAAGGATTCCAGTCTGCTGCAACATCTCCTTCACCCAAAAGTCTGGATCTTTGGCTGTGCCACGCTGTGCCGCTGCGACTGGGGACAGTCCCTGAGGTTCAGGACAAGAAGGAGTTTTTGGGGAAGGATACAAGAATGATCAATAACTGGTTGGTGGTTTTAACCATCTTGAAAAATATTAGTCAGTGGGAAGGATTATCCCATATATTATGAAAAAAAAATGTTTGAAACCACCGACCAGATAATGTCAAGTAATTTGACGACAATGTGGTTTTCTGGGTCTTCAATGTTGATTCATGCATATTTATACCAATTTTTGCTGATTGCATTTACATGCATTTCCACTTTGTCTTGGTCCAGAATGGGTTTGTCAAAAATTTGGGTATCTAAAAACCCGGATTTCCCTGGGAAAATATCCAGATGTTTTTCTGATATAATGTGGTAAACCCAATGCCATACACCAACTACCATTTGTGGATGATTGAAATCCAACCCATTCAACCCATGTATGGTAATATTGCAGATTGATGATTCTTGGGTTTACCACATTGAATCTACTTTAAAAGGTCGAATCCGTGTGATGTTATTTTGATTGCGAGCGATTAACCACCAAAGAGTTTTGACCAATAATTGGTGGTTAATTATTATCATGTATGACCCCTTCTCCCAGTTAATTGCCGGTTTAATCACAAATAATAATCAACCACCAATGGCAAGCAATTATATAACTGAGATAATAATGATCAATCACTAATTGGTGGTTAATACTGGTTAATAGAACACTCATCAATACTTGACATAACATTCATCAATAACTAACCAACTAGCTGGGAATATAATCTGGGTATATTATATATACTAATTTAATCTAATTCACTAGCCTGAAAAGTTTGTCTATATTGGGATACTTCCCCGCAATCGAATCATCATGCCAGTGAGGTCGCAGTGAGGTCACTATAATATCTATCACTAATAATCCCTACCATCATCATCATCATCATCATCATCATCCTCATCCTCATCATCAATAATCCCTACCATCCCATATAATATGTATATATATATATATATAAGTTGGTTTGTAAATTCTAGTAACTATACTTATATATACAATTATACATATATATCCCCTAGTGTCTCAGGGAGGTCCTTATCACTCAACTTTTGATGGTTAATTATCTATTGTTGATTACTGGCCTTAATCATTAATCATTGACCATCAAGAGTGAAAAAGAAACAAAACAACAGATAGGTGCTCTCAAAGAGTTAATGATTATTATCCACTATAATTTTATTATCCCATTCATTATACTTACATCCTATTATCCCATTATACAATATCCCAATACATAAATTTCTCCGTTCGTCAAGTCGAGGGCTTGGTAAATGTCCTAACTTTTCACATCACCCAACTAATTATTGGGGATATACAGTAATATAATCTCCAACAGATACTTGTTTTAGTGATGTTCAGAATCTCCAAAATGGGACATTTACCCTCTGGTAATTTAACATAGCTATTGAAAATGGCCATAGAAATAGTGAGTTTTCCCATTAAAAATGACCATTTTTAATAGCTATGTTAGTTTACCAGAGGCTACCAAGCCCTGAACTCTGCATTGCAGGTGTCTCCCGAAAGTCAGACAAACAGCCGCAGCTGTTGAACAACCGAGTCCCCAAACATCGCCATGACGAAGCTGGTGCGCTTGCCGCCCTGGACTGTCGCGAAGTCGCAACGTTTTATAGTCGTTTAAAAAAAGAAGGTTAACGACCAAAAAAAATGGTGATGAATCGTTGATATAGCTGATGAAAAAAATGTTAGCTAACTTACATAACCAGAGACTTATATAATAATATATATATAACTTATAATATATAGCTGATATCTCCGTGTTTTGACCAATATCTTTTCTTTCCGCACAGAGATGCCATTGTGCATGTCGGCGAGAAGACACCCCAGCCGGAAACATTCATGGACCGGGCCATCCCCCATGTTTTGCGAAAAAAACACATCAATCCCCCCCAGATGCTCCATGGTGCTGGCATATTTACCTACAGATACCCTAAAAATTGCCCTGTTTTGTAGGTAAATTTTCCATACATGGGAGCATCAATTGATCGTTCTGAAAGGTGTACAAGTCACTAGCTTCAAGCATGCAATGGAGCATCAATCCCCCATAGTTTGCACAAAACCCGTCGGGAAATCTACACTGGTTGGTGGTTGACCTGACCTACCCCTCTGAAAAATGATGGAGTTCGTCAGTTGGGATGATGACATTCCCAACTGAATGGAAAAAAAATCCAAATGTTCCAAACCACCAACCAGTACATGTCTTGCCAAAAAACCGTCGGGTCCAATCCTTGGTGAACTCTGGATGCTGATTTGGGACTTGAAATGGGGTACCCCCAATTTCAACGGATTGTCATCATTTTTCGTGTTTAAATTGCAATTTTGGTGGTGGTATACGGTAAATTTTTAGACACGTCCACATATTCTATCAAGTTGGTTAGATATATCACCATTTTGTCCTCATAGTTGTTGGCAAAATCACAATTTCTCAAGCATTTTGGTTGGTTAAAATCCACAACATCACCACTTCTCAAGCATTTTGGTTGGTTAAAATCCACAACATCACCACTTCTCAAGCATTTTGGTTGGTTAAAATTCACAACATCACCATTTCTCAATAGTTCGAATCCCAATCCCACATGTAGTAATGCGATCTCCCGGCCCCGGCCCCACGACGGCCGCACCTTGTTGGCTTTGGAGGTGGGCCTTGACTCCTGAAAAGTCCCCCGTTCATATGAGGGTTTTTGCTGGGATTTTACGGTGGTTTCATGGGATACAACTACGATACAACCCAGAAACTGGGACTTATGGTGGTTTTTGCTGGGATTCTATGGTGGTTCAAAAATGAGGGTTTCATGTTTTCATGGTGAGACTAGGACTTAGCTTCTGATCAATCAGACAGTTTGCGAACTGGAAAGACTTGCCATTCGATGACTTACCTATGCAGATTGGTGATTTTCACTATATCAAATTACCAAAGGGTATATATATATCCATATTTGTATATATAAATTGGATTATAAAATGTAAATGCAGCATGTGTGAACTATATATATATAATATACAGTATACATATCAGAATGAGCATATGTACTCATTTACATTTACATAATGTAGAATATGTAAAGCGAACCTGACAGGGTGGATAGACCTAAATCATTTCAAATAATTGAACGATATAATTATCCCTCTTCCAATCAGACGTGGCCGCAAAGCTCTTGCTTGTAAGAGGAAGCTCACCTACACATGGTTGCAAATACAGATGTTTCGTTGCTGGTCTTGCTTACTGAAGGGTAAATGATGTAGCAAAGCTGAAGCTGAAAGGGTGACCCTTTTCATCCCTTTTTAGATTATTCCCTTCAAACATCCATCAGTTCCAGTCATAAGTGGTTTTAAAACCATAGTTACCCTCTGGTAATCGTTTACATAGCTATTGAAAATGGCCCATTTATATATAGTTGATTTACCCATTAATAGCATGGTGATTTTCCCATCCGTTTTTGGTATGTTTATCAGAGGGTACTATAGTTGTAGGGGGTTACACTTCAATTACTTCAATTTATGGGCCGTAACATCCCAGGATGGTTCACCATTAAGATGGTTCACCGTTTATACACATCACCATGTTGGTATTGTAATATATACCAACCATTACTGGAAATTGCTGGTTGGTATCATTATAACATATTATAGCTATGGTTTTTTCCTCAAAATCCTCAAATATCCCAGCGATGTTTGGTTCTTTGTCGCCCAGTGACCAACCATTTACCGGCTCTGAATAGCTCATCATCCGAGGGGCCCTCATCGCCTCATCGTTCCCAACTAGATGTATGTTCGAAGGTGCAATCCCATTTTTACTGGTCACAAACCATCCTGTGCGAGTACAATGATCAATCCCAAGGAAGTTTATGCGATGGATTTCAGCAGAATTTGCATGCTGAAACACACCAGTGAAATGCGGCTTACTGGTTGACATAGCTACCAAAAAATATTCATGACCATGGAAACACACCATTGAAATGCTGATTGAAATGTTGATTTACCTAGTAATTTGATGATTTGATGTTGATTTACCATGCTAATCCCATGGAATTACCATGGTAAAAATGCTGATTTTCCAGCGGATTCATCCCCGGCCTCCCTGGACTTGGCGCGCTCCTAACGAAGAAACCACTTGTGGAATGGCCCGCTGATGTGTAAATATGGTTGTTGTGATATAGAGAAAAATATACATCTATCTATCTATCTATCTATCTATCTACTTATCTATCTATATGATGCATATATATATGATATAATATAAATCATATATATATACACATAGAAAATCATGTAAATCTGGTGTGTGTATATATATGGTTGTTGATCAAAATTCCTTTATCCCGGAACGGCCATTCTTCGCGAATAAAAATTTTACTTTCGCGAAACTTTCGCAAACTCCATGTTTATCTTTCGCGGGGCCCATGTTGGCCAACAACACCTCTTATGAAGATTCGTTCACCACCTGCCAAATTACGCCAGAGAATCACGGATCATTTCTTGGTAGCCTTTTAAACATGCAGCTAGCATCACGGAATCCCTTCTCAGGACAGCTTTTTTTGCAAAGTTTACTGGCCCACCGCCTTCAACATGCACTTTGACTTTCGCCCGCTCTTTCGCATAACTTTCGCGGAACTTTCGCGAAATTATCCCTATTCACAGACCCCGGCCATCAGCAGGGGTTGCACTGAAGGAAAAGCGAAGACCAGGGGCCTTGGTGTTTGGCTCTCGCAAAGTCTCACTTTTGGAAACTTGGCTACTGCTACTCGCATTCTCTGGTGCCCTTCTCCTGCCGGACCCCGGGCGGCAGCGGGTTGGCAGCCCTTTACATATAATGATTATAAAACCCAACTTTCGCGAAACTTTCGCCAAATAAAACTTTACTTTCGCGAACTCGAAAAAAAACTTTCGTGAGGATTTCCAACATAACACGCACGGCTTTCGCAATTAAAACTCCTGACAAGGACCTTTAGATCGATCACCATATATATATCATATATATTACATATCAGCTACCTTCACAGAAGCCCATCGATCTGGCCGCCCATGAGACAAAAAACATCACAGGATGTTTCACCACAACTGGGTCAGCCGCAGCCGACAACCATGGCAATTTAACATAGCTATTGAAAATGATCATTTATAGTGGATCTACCCATTAAAAATGATGATTTTCCATAGCTCTGTTAAATTACCAGAGGGTAGCCCAGTTACAGTATATATTTCAATGGGCTGGTTTTGTTGGGAACATTTTCACAGGAAAACCCCATGATCTGAATGGTAAAATTCGGATGGGTTTCCTGTGAAGACGGTGAAGACTTTCCCGTGAAAACCAATCCATTGATACATTGGAAAACACGTAAGTTGGAGGTTTCCCTTTTTCATAGGGGTACCTCCAGTTCTCATCCATTTTTCTTTGGGATTTTCCCTTAAACATCCAGCTATTGGTGTACCCCCATTTCAGGAAACCTCCAGTTAACAGTTCAGGATTTCTTTTTTGAACTGATATGGACCACCAGTTAACAGCAAAATGGACGAAACAAGGGCCATGATATCATCTGCAAGATGGAAACGATTGATGAAAGGTGAAGGGGTTGAACGGTTGAACGGTTGAACAGGGGATATGTGATGATATCAGCTAACCAACATGCTTCGGGTCACATATGCTTCGGGGACACAACGCTGGATGTTGCAGCCCAGTTTTGATTCTGGCCACGCGTGACCCATCCATGCAAGGATCGAAAAAATGTGAAATCTGTCATAAACATCCCGGTTATTTTTCTGGTGTTTATACACATGTAAACATCCGCATTATTCTACCTCACATGGATGAGCTGCGTAACGCCAGCAACCGTCACTCGGCCGAGAGCGTTTTTGGATAGCACAGCGCAAAGTTTGACCTGGAGTGACTTCAGATGCCTTTGCACTCTGAGGGAAAAACTCCACGACTCATTCCGGACACACTGGCTTCTGCCATTGATGGCTGAGAGTTTAGCTGAAGGAGCTTGGGGACACAATCATGTGTATCCGTAATCAGCTTGGAGTCGATAGAATATGGAATTATCATTATATCCCCATTTCAGATGATTTTGTTTGGCAATTCCCATATTCCATCTACTCCAGGATGACTACATACATACAGACTATAGTTTTTACAGCCATAAATTATACAGATTTATACAGTATTATATCCTCTAGTAAGTTATATTACTCATAGAAAACAACCGTTTCAAGAAAATTGACCTATCAAACATTGATGTTTCCATAGTTCTGTTAAAATACGATCTGTTGTCAAATCAAATAACCCCATTCGAAGATAATACACTTCCATTGTATAGTCCCAAAAAGAGAAACACGGTGGATGTAGTGGGTGTTCAACATGAGGAACGAAATTATTGGCCTGGCCTAGATAGTCAAGTTTCATCAACCAAGATGGTGTTTCATTTTGATAGATCTCCCCAAGATTGTTTTTCTTCCAGTTTCTACCCCCAGCCAGGTGGCACCACACAGGCGCCAGCCGCACATCAGGGCTGCAACCATGCACGGCCAAGGCTAAGGACAATGGGCCGCGGAACGAAGGCAATGATCCGCGCGGTGCGCGCGTGCCTGGGTTTGAAGCAAGTTGTCCAGGCGGTACGGTACTCCACCCTGACGCGTCCTGAAGGGGAAATTGGGGGAGTTAAGCAACAAACCTGGTGAGATAATAGGATTCAATGATCAACAATTAACTGGGATAAATGTGAGCAATCAATAATTTCCAGTATCATCAATAACCCCAAATATTAGTGAGAAAAATATGAGTTCGTCAGAGTCAGTTGGGATGATGAAATTCCCAATATATGGAAAAATCATCCAAATGTTCCAAACCACCAACCAGATAATACTTGGATAATCACATCATGCAACGGTGTCACGAGTTCCGTGGCGATAGCTACAAAAAATCCCCCTGGTCGCCAACCGTTTCGCTGGGAAGATTCATTGGGGATTTTCATGCGCTTCGCCACAGTTGATTGCTGGAGGGTAATTAATTTGGGGGGAGATTTGAATACTGGCAAATGCATATATATATATAGACATAAATTATGTATGTTATGTATATATATAATATGTATACCTACATGTATATATGTAATACACATATTTTATTGAACCAAGAAACCAGGTGAGATAGTGGGATTGAATGGGATACTGCAACTACCTACTTGGGAGTGCAGGGTTGGTCCGGGTTGGTTCATGGTACAACCATGGCACCATGGGGTTTTAACCCCAGTTGGAATATAACTCTTACAGCTGGAAAGTCGTCAAAACTTTAAAATGCCCTGCGTTGAACTTTGCACCCTAGAATCCTTCCATCAAATCTATGAAACATCTATCTACCTACAGTATCTGCTTATTTTTCTACCAACCTATCTATTGAATCTATTGTTGTCATGACTATCTACCCACCTAACTAGATCATACATATGTATGAGTTAGTGAAATGATGGAATGATGTGACATGTACGTAACGCTTTATTTTTTCTTTGGCTATGTGCATATGCAACAAAGCATTGCAGCATGACCAACATCGCAGGTCCTCCGAGGGAAGAGGTGAGTTTTTCGCAGAGCTCGTCAATGTCCACGTCCAGCCCTGTATTCCTTGGATATGCGAAAAGTTAATGCACCATTTTAAATAATACATGTATATCCATGTTATAGATTCTAAAATAACACCTGTTCAACTATAGATTCTCCATTTCCAGTGGATTGACCAATGGAAAAAATAAACAAAGACATACGCCGTATCAGCGGGACCAGTAGATTTTCCCATGGATGTTTTTAGTGAATTAGATATCTACTAACAGATCAGGGTATCTACTGGTGATGCCCACTGATCAGTAGGTATTCTCACATCACCAGTAGATCAGGTAGTGGGAAAAGAAAGACACCATCTCAAAAAAATGCAGCAGGATTCCTGAGAGAAATGAGGCAGGTGGCAACCACGGCCGATAGCAGGCCAGCCGCGGGTGGAAGGATTTGCACCCACAAGGGGGGGAAGACAATGGCCAGGAATCTCAGCCCCATGATGGCAACAAATCCAACAAGACCTCAACTGGTTGGTCCTTAAGTGGTTCAACTCCCCTGAAAAATATGGGATCATCATCCGAAGGTAGGATGGAAAATAAAAAAAATGCTTGAAACCGGCACCTAGAAACCGAAGATCATGGCAACGACTGGAAGCATCTCATTCCAAAACTGATTCACAATCATTTGCAGCTCGCCGTGCCATTGCTTCCATTCGGAGTCATCCAGTGTAGACAGGCAAAGAGGCTTGTGGCTGTTAGTCAACTTCGGCCTGGTTACTATGCAGTCTGCAGGGTTTGTTAGGATGAATGTTTCGCCTCCCTCGGGCACTGACAAGTCAGAGGAAGAACCAACTCCCATGATGCGGCGATCGAGGCTCGGCTCTAGGATCTCCGGCGCGAACCTTTGGAATGACGACCCGGGCAGTCCATAGAAGCACTTTGACCCACTAATAACTGCCGCGTGTATGTTGGAAATGAATGGAAATGGGGTTGTTGACTAACACTTTGGATAGTACTCTATATTTATATATATATATTATATATATATGTATATGGTCCCGTCCTCCGTCTCTCCAATCCACCAATGGTGTGGGGGGTCCAGCCAGCTAGCCTCTTGTGATCTGATGCCCCTTGATCCCCTATCGAAGCATGCAAACACGAAAACATAAGTATGAACATACAAGGCCATTACCAGCCACAGCGGGGGAGGGGGATCTATGTGTGGACCACTTTGGGGCTGAAAGCCAATTAAATCTGCGATGTCTTGGAACCTGGGTTCGGCGTTTTTTTTTCCAGAAAAAAATAATGGAAACATCACCAAAAGTTGCCGACGTTAATTCCAAACATTACGGCGTAATTTCCCAACATTACAGCGTAATTTACCAACATTACGGCGTAATTTCGGGGAAACTTGACAGAATTCATTTCCCAGCAGTTTGGCTGCTCATGGACTTGTAGGGTCCATGGAGAAAAGGAGTTTTGTACTGTTCAGGGTATGGGGACAACCTCTTTGTCAGACAAACGTATGCATGGTGAGTGAGGTCCCAGTGAGGTCGTTTTAATTTACCTATATCAACAAGAAAAAATAACGACCGATCGAGGAGAGAAGTATCACGAACTATCAACAAAAAGTGGTTTTGAATGCAAACTAAATTGTACCACACAGGACTTGCCATTTAGAGTCAATTTACCAGTCGTACCGCACAAGGCGGCGGCGGAAGTTTCAAAAATAGGATAAAATAGGAAACCCATAGAAAAAGTTTATTGTTGTGAATCAAGGATGGCAGAGCGAATCCACTGATGGACTGAAAGGTGGTTGGAGTTGTGTTGTTGGAGTGGTTGTAATGGTTGCAGTGGTCACCGTGTCGGTCACCTTACCCACAACTGCTGGATGTAGCGTGGTGTAGTTCAGCTGTAGTTGTAGTTGTAGTATAATGGAGTTGTAGTTGTGGTGTAGTGTAATTAATGCAGCGTAGTTGCAGTTGCATGTGTGGTGGCTTCATGCGTGTAGTGTAGCGTAATGTAAGTAGTGTAGTCTAGTGCAGTGTAACGTAGCATAGTTGTAGTTGTAGCTGTAGTTGTAGTTAGTGTAGTGCAGTGTAGCGTAGTGTAGTGTAGTGTGGTGTAGTTTGGTGTCTAATGTAATTAGTGTAGTGTAGTCTGGTCTATATAGTGTTATGTAGTGTTATGTAGTGTTATGTAGCTATAGTTGTAGCTGCAGTTGTAGCTGTAGTTGTAGCTGTAGTTGTAGCTGTAGTTGTAGCTGCAGTTGTAGCTGTAGTGTAGTGTAGCGTAGTGTAATGTAGTGGAGTGTAGTGTCGTGTAGTGTGTAGTTGTAGTTGGTACAAAGCCTTCACGTTTTCCTCACTTTTGACAAGGTGCACAATCCCTTGTGCCTGCCACGCAAAAAAGGCATCTGAACGTCCAAAAGTGCTCCGTACCCCTCATTTTTTTGCACTTTTGACTTCGAAATGTGCTTCGCGCCACAGCAGCGTGCACTTTTTGGACATCTCAACTTTCAAAACTGGTCCGAACCTGGTGTGCTTCGTATATTTTGACTTGGAAATGTGCTTCGCGCCACAAATGCGTGCACTTTTTCAACATCACAACTGCCAAAAGTGGTCCGAACATGGTGTGTTTTGTACGTTTTGACTTCAAAATGTGCTTCGCGCCACAACTGCGTGCAACTTTTCATCTCTCATCTGACCACATGGCTCCACACCCGCCGCTTTAGCGAGCCTACTTTTAGACCCTCCGGAGCCACAAATCATTCGAAAAACACAGTGTTTCGCGACTTTGCTACCTTTTCGTGCACCTGCATCTAGCTTGTTTCCTCTGACTCTTTCTCTTCTCTGATCTTCTCTCTTCTGCTCTTCTCTTCTCTTCTCTTCTCTGACTCTTCCCACCTCTGCTTTTCCATCTGTCCATATTGTCGGAAGTTTGACATCTAAACTTCCTTCGATAAAATGTAGATGTTCGAACATGTTCATATATACTCCGTTTGTCAAGATTTTTGTGGAAAGTATTGATAGACAAAAATCTGCAGCTCGGAAACCCCAGGGTAATGTTGCATCACAAGAAAGATGTGCATGGGTATGTTGTATCCTCCGTTGCAACAATAAGCCTTGCTAGGGTTCCAGGGAGGTTGTATTAGTCAATCAGTTTCTGTCTCAAATCTAGTAGTAACTCCTCGAACAATTGATCTTGCCATGTTTGAGCCCTTCAGTCCAACAATTGGTTCCACTTCACGAACGAGGTCTGCAATTTGGTCAAAGGTACCATAGATTGCAAGGCTACCCAAACAAAAATAAGTGGTTGGTGCCCTTGATCTGCGAAAATTTCGAAGAACATCCCATGCACCGTTAGTAGGTTATAGTATATAGGTTTAAGTGGGTGACAATATGCAATAACCACGTTGAAGCCCAGTTATGCGTGGTATTATGTGTTGCATGTGGGTTGCCCTCGGGTAAACTCACACTTCGCTGTGGAACATCACCATTTTCTAATGGGAATCTATCATCTGTATTGATGCCATCTAGTTCATCGTATTTTGTTCATTTACTGGGTGGTTCTTCCTATTAACATCCCGAATCACCCTACAATCCCAGGAAATCCCATTAGATCATATTAAATCCCACTAAACCCCTTTGAAATCCCACTAAATCACCTCAAAGTATAAAACCAATGGGGTTTCCTGGGATTTCCTGGGATTGTAGGGTTTTGTTAAATCATATTAAATCCAACTAATCCCACTAAACCCCATTGAACAATCATGTATTTGTTCTGCTTTGCTGGTCTTTTCCTTGGCTGTCCGGATCCTGCAGGACATCTTCGTCCAACATGTCGTACAAGACGATCCGGGCCAGCCTCGGTGCCCGATATTGGTAGAACGATGCATCCCTATATGTGTTTTCATTAATATTACCATTACAGTAACCATTAACCAATGATAATGCTCAATAACATCCTAGGGCCATTAATAATCCTATTAATAATATTTAATAATCATCTTACCCTCTGGTAAACATACAATTACTTTACTTCGTGTGATCCCCACCCTGACATTTATACATTTTCTTACTGGCAAATCTTCTGGCATTCTATCTGACATATCTTCTGGCATACTATCTGGCATAACTTCTGGCATTCTATCTGGCATATCTATCTGGCATGTCTTCTGGCATATGTTCTGGCATTCTATCTGGCATTCTATCTGGCATATCTTCTGGCAAATATTCTGACACATCTTCTGGCATTCTATCTGGCATTCTATCTGGCATATCTTCTGGCATATCTTCTGGCATATCTTCTGGCCATCTATCTGGCATATCTTCTGGCATTCTATCTGGCATATCTCATGGCTTTTTATCTGGCATATCTTCTGGCATTCTATCTGACATTCTATCTGGCATTCTATCTGGCATATCTTCTGGCATATTATCTGGCAAATCTTCTGGGATTCTATTTGGCATATCTTGTGGCATTCTATCTGACATTTTTTCTGGCATTCTATCTGGCATACCTTCTGGCATTCTATCTGGCATATCTTCTGGCATTCTATCTGGCATATCTTCTGGCATTCTATCTGGCATATCTCATGGCTTTTTATCTGGCATATCTTCTGGCATTCTATCTGACATTCTATCTGGCATATCTTCTGCATTATCTGGCTGTTGAGGTCCAGCGGTGCACACTGAGCTGGGCAGGTCCCCGGTTGAGGTCCAGCGGTGCACACTGAGCTGGGCAGCTCGCAGGTTGAGGTCCAGCGGTGCACACTGAGCTGGGCAGCTCGCAGGTTGAGGTCCAGCGGTGCACACTGAGCTGGGCAGCTCGCAGGTTGACGTTCAGCAGTGCGCACTGAGCTGGGAAGTTGGCAAAGAGCTTGGCGACGAGTTGGCAAGGTTGGCAAGGCGGAAGTGGAAGTGGAAGAGGCGGAGGCGAGGAGGAGGGCGGAGGCGAGGAGGAGGGCGAGGAGGACAGCTAGTCGAGGAGGAGGAGGAGGAGGCGGAGGAGGAGGCGGGCATGCGCTCTGGTAAAATCTAACAACCCTCACCTGGCAGGTGGGGAAATAACTGATGGGAAAATCACCATTGTTCGATGGAAAAATCCACTATAAATGGCAATTTTCCATAGCTATGTTAGTTTACCAGAAGGTAAATATCAATCAATATTAAATTATATAAAATCATTTTTTATCCCCCTAGACCTGTCAAATGTCATATCAATATTTAAATATCAATATGTAACTCAACATTACTATGAGTCCTCAGCAAACAGCAATATACACAAATAGCATCAATACGCATCAATAAACATCAATAAAAATGGTAGTTTCATATATCCCATGAACAAAGAGACTTTCTTTTTCGAGTGATCCCCACCCTGACACACTATTCCGACATAGTTTCTGACATACCATCTGGAAGTATGTGTATATATATATATATATTCTATCAGACACTCTTTCTATCTCTTTCTGGCATCTATTCAGGCATTCATTCTGGCATTCGATCTGGCATCTAGTGTGTCTGACATTCTATCTGGCATTCTATCTAGCATCTATTCTGACATTCTCTCTAGCGTGTGTTCGGGTCCAGGCGTGGCCCACTGCATCCGGAGCTCGCGATATGGATCGGGTCCAATGGTGCCCACAATCCACAGTCACGACAAGCTGGCAGAGGAGAAACGAAGAGGAGAAGAAGAAGGAGGAGAAGGAGAAGAAGGAGGGATGAGTTGCACATTTGTTACGGTAGAATCTAGAGACCCTCACCTGGAGGGGAATCACCCAGCCAGGTTATGTTTTTGCTGCCTCAGTTTCTTCAAAAGATCTGCCTGCAGGTACCCTTGAAATCTCCGGCGCTCGCATCAAAAAACAATCATTGCTTCCAGATGTTTATCCATAAAACACATATGGATACATATGGCATCATGTGTTCTATTAAATCCGGGTTTGTCTGAAAATAGGGCACCCACAAATGCCATGGATTATCAGCAATTTCTGAAATTGGAAAAATTGGGGGACAACACCAGATACACTTCCTGGGGGACAACGGGCCAAAAGAATCACCTCTGAGATCCTCTGAGTGGTGTGATGTAGCAAAGATACACATAACATATAAAACATGCCGACCATATCTCTACCCTATCTGTCCCTATCGCAACGTGGGAATCGGGAATGCACATTGTTACTTCTGCAGTTACGGCTTGAACTATGTGGAAGAACAACAACAACAACAGCAACAACAACAACAATCATCAAGCACTTCAGAGTTGCCGGACAAATCAGGTTGTGAACACAAGCCAAATCAGCGACCGTTTCAGGAAACTGCCGCTGAACCACCAAGGGAACCACCGATGATCACCAACTCAAACTGGGGAACATTACCTAGAACCAATTTATGACATGGGGCATTCCAGTCACTTGACACATATTGGCAATGCGTATCTTTACGTATGTGGATCAGCTTGGCTAGGGTTAAGAGTTTCCAGCCAGCATAAATCTGAAAGGGTGATTTTTTGTTTTAAAGTGGTTTCAAAGTGATTTAGGTGATTCTTCAAAAAGTGATTTTAAAGTGGTTCTTAAAGTGCTTCCATTTTTGGAAGTGATTTAAAAGTGATTTTTGGATTTCTTCAAAAAGTGGTTTCAACAGTGGCTGGACCTCTTTCATACCATGAAGTGATTTGAAAGTGGCTGTTGGAAGCAGTTTTGCTCCATTTTTACAACTAAAATCATTTTGAAATCATTTTCAAAATCACTTTGAAATCACTTTGTGGATGAATTTGGCAAGACAATCCCTTCTGGAAGCAGTTTTGCTCCAATTTTGCAACTAAAATCACTTTGAAATCACTTTTTGGAAGAATTTTCTAGGAAAATATCGTCTGGCAGCAGTTTTGCTCCATTTTTGCAACTACAATCACTTTGAAATCACTTTCAAAATCACTTTGAAATCACTTTTTGGAGATTTTTTCAGGAAAATCTCTTCTGGAAGCAGTTTTGCTCCACTTTTGCAACTTAAATCACTTTGAAATCACTTTCAAAATCACTTTGAAATCACTTTTGGGAGTAATTTTCCAGGATATTTCTCTGGAAGCAGTTTTGCTCCATTTTTGCAACTAAAATCACTTTGAAATCATTTTCAAAATCACTTTGGAAATCACTTTTGGGACTTTATGTCAAATCACTTTAAAATCACTTTGGCTTTGAACACCCACTTCTAAAATCACTTTTTGGGATATACCCTGAATTACTTTGAAACCACTTTGAAATCAGAAAAAATATAAAAATAATTTTCCAGATTCTTGCTATTTCAGATTGTCTTAAGGCTAGGGAATGTGCATGCCCTTACCCTCACACAACAGAAAATGGGATGAAGATGTGTTATAATTCAACAAAAAAACAGTGAGTATGGGTCAAAATCTATTTGGGTTTCTTCTGATCCTCATCTGCAATGGAAAACTCCCTCAGGGTTTATCTTGTCTGCCGCATTCAGCTCTTTCTCCATGGCTTTCATGTTGTTTTATCCAAGGGGGTTCCGTCGGACCGCCAAGATGCCAGCGGAAGTAATCCCCGCGCCTGAAAACGCGGTGAACATCGGGTGGCCAAGCCAAACCGGAATATGGCAATCATTCGGATATTATTAATAATTATATTCTGGTTGGTGGTTGAGCCACCCCTCTGCAAAAATATGAAAGTCAGTTGGGATTATTGTTCCCAATATATGGGAAAATAAAAAATGTTCCAAACCACCAACCAGTGTATATATATATATATACATACATATATATATTTTGTATATACGTATAGTGTATATATATACGTAACGTATAGTATTTATATATATATATACGTATAGTATATATATATATATATATATCATATGTTACTATTATATGTTATTACATACCATACACAACTGGCCGTTATTCAAAATTCAGGGTTAATCTCTTTGTCCCTTCAGATGGCCCACAAGTTGCCACTCTGGTGGTTGAGCCACCCTGAAAAATGATGGAGTTGGTCAGTTGGGATGATGAAATTCCCAATATACATATATATATATATATATATATTTATGTATATATATATATATATGGAAAAAAATGTTCCAGACCACCAGAACTAATATTGAGTATGAACCTCAAAGAAGTCGAATATCGTGCCCGAATATCGAACGCAAACATATTTACATGTGCCACTATGTTCAGAAATATAGCCACCACAGTACCAAAATAATACACGCATACATACCGCAGGACCTCAACGGCTGGCCCCTAACAAAGGCCAATGTTCCATTCAAACAACCTTCTAACGCCTCCCAAAATGCACTACCATTTTCAGAGGGATATCAAATATTTCACCACATCTTTTCTGGTTGGTGGTATACCTACCCCTCTGAAAAATATGAGTTCGTCAGTTGGGAGTATGACATTCCCAATATATGGAAAAATAATCCATGCATGTTCCACACCACCAAGCAGTGAAATATCCATTTCCCTATGGTTTCCCTATGGTTTACCTATGGTTTCCCTGTGGTTTTCCTATGGGATATATGGATGTTCCAGTTTTACAAGACAAACACAATATATAAACCGGACACACCCATACAACCATTGTTTCCATCACATATCAAATGCTGTCACAACAGGGTTGCTCCATACACCCCAAATACAATGGGGATCCATGGGGTTGCCGGGAGTTCAGCGGAAAACATCAAAAAGAGCTCCTCCAATATTCAAAGACTCGCAATCTTAAAGCTAAGTTCAACCAAAAGTCAAGCTCACCAAAGGAAAGACTCTCAAACTTCCGATCAGGAAAAAACATCAACAAAAACAATGACAAACTCGCAAAAACAATGCCAAACTTATATAAACATCCGGAAAAAATCCAGTTACCCTATGTTACCCTATGCTACCCGCTGGTAAACTAACATAAGTATGGAAAATCACATTTTTTCACTTGTAAATCAACTATTTCTATGGCCATGTTCGCTATGTAAACGTTTACCATCCATATCCACTCGATCCACTGAACGAAGCGTCGAGGAACTCATCTTTACACAGGACGATGCCATCCGTAAGCACCTCGGGTCTGAACATGCCGATATTTAGCATCGAAAATTGGGAATTGAACTGAATTTAACTGGTGAAAAATCAGAGAAAATGAAGTTTCATGGGGACTTTATGGATTTTAACAATTTTTTTCGGATTCAACCAACAAGTATGGGAATACAATGGGGATATGTGTTGTAAAAATATGGGCTTGTCTGAAAAGATGCCCACCAGTTCCCACGCTCATGTGACAGTCGTGGTGTAAGTTGCATTTACCCAGTTTGAGGCATGTGAATCGAAGTCCATCAGGCTTGGATTTCCGAGATATTTGACAATTTTGAGGTCATTAACCTCATTTTTTCAGGGTCAATCATTGTTTTCCGAGATATTTTTGAGGTCATTAAATTAACTGGGGAACACACCCCTAATGATGTGAATATTACATAGCTAAATCAACAAAATCTTGACCCTGAAAGATCAACACGGGAAATGTACCCTCTGGGAATCAAAGATGGCAAACAAATATCCCCAATGTTGAAGAACCTACGGTCCTGGTAAAATATGTCCATTACAGCCATGTTGAAGTTTCGAAACTACCTGCACCATCCTGCACCCTGCTACTTCTGAATCCACGTTCTGATACGTTCAGTGTACAGTATTCCCTAAAGATTTGGTGATGGGCCAAAACCCAAAACCACAAGTAATTAGCATATGTTCACATCTTAAAATAGCCCGTCTTTACGTGGATGATCATCCAAAAAAAGATGAACAGTTTGAAAGGTTTTGAATGGTAAGTTTGGCCCTTCCCATTTATATAAAACCTTTCCAACGAGTTTGGCTCCAATTCAACATAAGTTTACCATATTTGTGTTTTTGGTCAGATCTTCCCAAGGATTCAAAGTTGACCAGTCAGAATTCATCCTGGACGTCCCGAACTCCAGTGGCCCAGGAGAGAATGATGTCCTCACCCAGTTCCTGCGCTACCTGAGTGGAGTGCTGCTGTCGTTGTCGGCAACGCAACGGTGACAATGATCGAAGTGAATATCTTGAAAAACAACATGGTAAATTCTCCGGTCAGATGTATAATGCTCTATATACATAAAAGTGAAAGATATCAAAATTGATTCAGATTGGCAAAATGGTTGGCTTTGGCTTTGGCTTTGGTTGCGCAATGGATAGTATCACCGTATCACATGGTATCACCGTATCACCTCCGGAAAGCTATGGTTTGCGTAGTACAGATGTATGTATCATTATCTACCCCGTGGTGCTTCAAGACAATTCCTCAAAGTTAATGATGATCATCTGTCAAGTCAGTGATCAGCAGGGCACGTGGGCGATTTATGTGTGCGATCCACATGAACATGGATCGAGGTATGATCCAAGCATGACCTATCAGCAACCTTGGTGGAATGTAGAGGAACCTATTCCACAATTTTCAAAGAAACATCCGCCCCCAAAAAAATGCTACAGAAATGCGAACCAAACAAAGTGGTCGTAAATCCACGCATTTTTTATTTAATATCAAATCCTATTACCATCTCGTAATTTAACATAGCTATTGAAAATTGCCATTTGTAGTTGATTTACCCATTTTAAAAGGGTGATTTTCCATAGTTATGTTAGTTTACCAGAGGGTCCATATAACGACATGTCTATCTTTTGGGGGATTACTATATATACCCAGTAGCACAAATGTCATCTAAAAATGGTGGATATCACTCATTCCAACTCAAAAAAAAATGCTAAACATCACCTTTGCCAAAGCTTAAAAAGATGTCAGAGTAAAATCCCACCAAAATACGTAAAATTCCACTAAAGTAAGGGTAAAAGTGGTGAAATCCCCAACAAAAATCGTGGTAAAACACTAAAATCCTCCTAAACCTTTCTGGGGCTTACTTAGCTTTATTTTTCTATCCCTTTCTGGGGCTTAATTAGCTTAAATTGTGGTTAACATTTATTTTTCTATCCCTTTCTGGGGCTTAATTAGCTTGCTCAGGATAGACTCGCACCTGGGGGTCGTCGGGCGACAACTCACCTGCGGAGCTGGATGCCGGAACTTAACATGGGGGTATTGATGGTGATAAATAAGACAATGGATAGTAACATGATCGATATGATAGATATGATAGATATGATAGATATGATAGATATGATAGTAGTACTGTATTACCCCACTATGTTCATACCTCACCATAGCTTAACGATATTATTTTTATAGATACAGGAAGGCTGGCAACAAACCCATCTCTACAAATAATTAGATAATTATAAATAAGAAGATAGATTATAGCCGTTACCTTATTATCTAGGATATGTATCTCACAGACTATGAGAATCATGGTTGAATGGTGAATGAAAAGAGATATGCTGGTGACAAATTATGACACACTGGATATGGGATATAGTGGCGAAAATGTGAAGAAATGGGATGTAACAATGGGATATGACAATGACAAACTATGATAAATAAGATCACATGATGAATGACACCATTTAACAATCTGCTATCCTATACATGGCCTTTTCTATAGGTAGATCCTTGGTAGCTATGGCCCCCAAAAACATAAAGAGACCAAGGCAGTTACCGAGATATAATGGGATATGACAGTGTTTCGGGAGGGGGGGAACGGAGCTGCTTAATGACCAGAATGGTAATTTCACAGGAATGTAACTTGCAACTGTGGGAGCATAAATGGTGATATAGACCTTGCATGTATGCATGCATGCATGGATGTGTGTAAGTGTGTATGTATGCATCTATGCATGTATGTATGCATGCATCGATGTGTATAGGTGCGTATGTGTGTATGTGTGCGTATGTATGTATGTATGTATGTATGTATGTATGCATGCATGCATGCATGCATGCATGCATTTATGTATGTATGTATGTCAGTATGTATGTATGTATGTATGTATGTATGTATGTATGTATGTATGTATGTATGTATGTATGTATGTATGTATGTATGTATGTATGTATGTATGTATGTATGTATGTATGTATGTATGTATGTATGTATGTATGTATGTATGTATGTATGTGTGTAAACATATACATGTACATGTATATGTACATGTATATGTATATGTATATGTATATGTATATGTATATGTATAAGTGCATGTGTATGTGTATGAACATACGTACGTATGTATGCATGTCATGTAATGTAATAAAACAAAACGATACATAACGCAACGTAGTGATGTAATGTAATGTAATGTAATGTAATGTAATGTAATGTAATGCAATGCAATGCAATGCAATGCAATGTATGTATGTATGTATGTATGTATGTCTTAATGTAGATTATTATGCATTTACTCATTTATATATATATATAGAGAGAGAGAGAGTGAGAACATATGAGAATATGATATTTGGGCAGGATCCTGTGGAAATTTGCTACTGTACACTTTGTTGTGGTATAGATGGCCCATTTAGTGTGATGATTTGCTTAGTAAACGTCGCGATTTTCGTAACTACGTTCATTGCCAGAGGGTAGTCCATTTCTTGGATTAAAATAGAACAACAAGGTAACGGCGTTGATAAGAGGCCGTGCAGTGGTGTAAGATCGACATTCCATCATAAGTGTTCAATTTCAATTTCGTGAGGGTTTTTCAACATTTTCATCATATCATGGTGTTTTCAATGAGCTTAAAACCACGTAGTGTTCACCGAAAATATTGATTTTTGAGCGTTTTACCACATAAAATGGCATTTTTTAATGACAACCCTTGTTTCCGAAACTTTGTGTGACATGAATATTGACGTAAGAGAAACCTAGCAGTAGCGTCGCATGATGTATGTGTGGAAGTGCAAGAGAAACTAGCAGTAGCGTAGCACGACGTATGTGTGAATGCGCAAGAGAAACTAGCAGTAGCGTAGCATGACGTATTTGTGAGTGCAAGAGAAACCTAGCAGTAGCGTAGCATGACGTATTTGTGAGTGCAAGAGAAACCTAGCAGTAGCGTAGCATGACGTATGCGCGATTGTGCAAGAGAAACCTAGCAGTAGCGTAGCACGACGTATGTGCGAATGTGCAAGAGAAACTAGCAGTAGCGTAGCATAACGTATGCGTGGAAGTGCAAGAGAAACTAGCAGTAGCGTAGCACGACGTGTATGTGAATGTGCAAGAGAAACTAGCAGTAGCGTAGCACGACGTATGTGTGAATGCGCAAGAGAAACTAGCAGTAGCGTAGCATGACATATGTGTGAATGTGCAAGAGAAACTAGCAGTAGCGTCGCATGACGTATGTGTGGAAGTGCAAGAGAAACCTAGCAGTAGCGTAGCATGACATATGTGTGAATGTGCAAGAGGGGCTAGCAGTAGCGTCGCATGACGTATGTGTGAATGTGCAAGAGAAACTAGCAGTAGCGTAGCATGACATATGTGTGAATGTGCGAGAAAAACTAGCAGTAGCGTCGCATGACGTATGTGTGGAAGTGCAAGAGAAACCTAGCAGTAGCGTCGCATGACGTATGTGTGGAAGTGCAAGAGAAACCTAGCAGTAGCGTAGCATGACGTTTGTGTGAATGTGCAAGAGAAACCTAGCAGTAGCGTAGCATGACGTTTGTGTGAATGTGCAAGAGAAACTAGCAGTAGCGTAGCATGACGTATGTGTGAATGTGCAAGAGAAACTAGCAGTAGCGTAGCACGACGTATGTGTGGAAGTGCAAGAGAACCTTGCAGTCGCAAAGAACGTTAACATCCCCCCCCCACCCCCCCCACCCCCCCCCACCCGGTTCACAATCACAATGACAAGAAGAACACACAAAACCGAAAAAATGGAGACAGCACACGGCCCCATTTAGTGTGATGATTTGCTTAGTAAACATCGCGATTTTCGTAACTACGTTCATTGCCAGAGGGTAGTCCATTTCTTGGATTAAAATAGAACAACAAGTCCATAGTTGAAATATGTTGCAGCCACGTGAATATCAGCAACAGTTTTGGCACACGGCTTTCGTAAATGGGAATGTAGCCTAAAGCCATGGTTGGTTCACTACTCAACTCCAATTTTGGATGATCTGGGGATGGCCCTAGGGAAGATACATCGGTTGGGATTAACATTGAAACATAGAAGAGCTGAACTACCCTCTGGGTATTTGAGGTAGCCAATGGAACAATGGAACTCATCATTTGTTGGACTGATCATCAAACTAAATGGGCATTGAAACATGAGCGGTCTATACCATAGCAAACTGGAACACATGTCCAGATGGTATGTTGAAGCCACAATGACATACACAAACAAAAGATCTCCACTCTTGGGTCAGTTTTCTCACCAGCATTTTCATTGGATGTCTTACAATTGGTATATAAGTACTTCTATTTGTTTGTATACATACATACATGTATATAAACATCCGTCCGGGGGGTTATTCGGACCTTAATTTACAGTCGAATGTGTATTTCGTATTGGCAGGGCCATGCGAATTGCAACTTCATGTCTGTAAGGAATTTGATCAAATTCCTTTCTCCAAGTGTCTAAAACCTGCGTTTTGGACCATTTTGTTTTGATATATGCTTTGCTCATCAATGTTGTTTTTCCCGGAGCATTTTCATCCAAAGGCTTCTTTGTGCAACTGTCGACCAGTAACCTGAAACAAGTGTTTCTTCTGGACCCACCGCCATTGCCACTGCTACGCATATTGCATCAGCAACAGGTTTGGCGTTTGGCCTTTGCAAGTCCATCTTTACTCGGTCAACACCGAACAACTTAACGTAACATGTAACATCTGTCTTAACTCCAGCCATATCCCAAGACGTAACATGTAACATCTTTGCTCGGTCAACACAAACAACTTGACGTAACATGTACCATATTCACTCGGTCAACACAAACAACTTAATGTAACATGTAACATCTTTTCCACAAACGCAGTCGTTTCTGCTTAGAGTCTACATGAACGTTAAGACACCCCGCCACCCCACCCCACCCCAAATCCCATGAAGTATCACATTACATCTATGCCAGCACAAAATCCATCACGTAATATGTTGCTATATGTCAGTGCCTGACATCAGCGCAGCCGTTTCTGCTTAGAGTCTACATGAACGTTAATACACCCCCCCCCACCCCACCCCACCCCATTGACATGGTTTGCAAGTGCATCAACAAAAAACAATAAAAATCGGGTCCGGTTTTGCTCCCGCTAGCATAAACATGTACTGCTTGGTGGTTTCGACCCCTCTGAAAAATGATGGAGTTCGTCAGTTGGGATGATTATTCCCAATATATGGGAAAATCAAAGCTATGTTCCAAACCACCAACCAGATAAACATGTATGTATATATATATATTATTATTATATATATATATTATATATAATATATATATTATATTATTTATATTATATATATATTATATTGTATATATATAATATATACATATATATATACAATATAATATATATATATTATATATAGCGGATAAATTCCATCCCTAATGGCTTGATGACCATCCCACCATCGTGACACTTCCAACGTTGTGGGGCGGCTGAATAACTTAGTCTGTGACTCGGATGAAGAGATCCTCATTTTTCCGGATGAAGAAATGTTGAATGCCATAAAATTCGGGATAAATCATGATAAATCGACTATTTCTGGCTTTTCCCCGCTGCTTCCAGCTCTCACATTGGGTTAATCGTAGATACCCTCGATGAAACTCATCGGAAATCTGCAAGCCCAAAAAAATGGATGCTACAGTGTCTCCATGCCACAGCATTTTGGCTGCTTGTATTTGCTTCCTACAAGGTGGTGCCCCCAAGATAGCTAAGTTGGTTTATAACTCCAATAACATAATAACTAGGGGTTTATAAACCAACTTATAACTGGGGGGCCCACATTGTACTCTAGATTTTTGAATCCCTATTTTCAGATGTTTGGCATCCAGTTCCGAACCGAAAGATACAAACGACATGTGTATTTTGTTCTTTCATACTCGCCAGTGTATAGCAGTGGTAGCTTCGTCCAAAAAAACTTGTCATCGCCCGGTCATACTGATCTCCTTTAGTGGCATCTAGTCATCAACGCAGAAATTCAATGGATTGGTTTAAAGGAATATCTTAACCGGAAACCATAGACTTTCCATATTTTTTCCATAGATGTTCCAATTAAATATGGCCCTTTCCATGGCTTTCCTGTAAAAAAAACAAGAAAACCAAGCCAATGAAGGTAGATCAGGTCGCAGCCTGGTAGCCTCAAAGCTTGGACCCCAAAGAAAACATGAAAACTAATTGATGGCCAGATTAAAAAAGCGGTTTCTCCCAACAAATCAGCCAATTTTCGAATTTCTGTTCATAGATTTCAGCCATTTCTCCATGAAATTCCATGAATCCACCCATTTTTCTTTAGTCTCATTTGCCGTTTCCCGTTGCCGGCAACGGATTGCCGCAACTCGCCGCACCTTCAAAGCTATCACTGGCGGAGGCACAGCTGCTGTGTAAGTCTGCAAGAAGGCGAAGGCGAAGGCCCTTCGTGGGGGTATTAATGGCAAATGGTAGGTGAATATGGTTTCATATCGTTTTGATATGCGCTTTGCATGCTTTATCAAAAAAATAAAATAATAATAATGCGATTAAACTAAACAATTATGTATTTGGTATAACTGACAAAAATGGTGGTATCATGGTCTATTAATTGAATGTTGGTGGGATGTTTTGATGAACTATGAATGGGAAGATCAAGCCGGGATATAACGGAATATCAATGGGATACAATGAGTTCAATGGTGGGGATAGAATAGGGATAGAACTACACCAAAAATTGGGATATGGCTAATGTGTAAGGTGGGACTTGATGGGGATAGAATAGGATATCAATTGGAATAGAAATATATATATATATAATTATATATAATTCTGGGTAAATTATAAAATTTCACTGACCTGAATAGTTCGGCCAGCTATGGGGATGATCCCCCTTATGAAAATCATGATTCCCAGCGAGGGAGAACAGTGAGGTCGTTATAATTTATCCAGATAATTATATATATAGATAGATAGATAGATAGATATGGAATATTCATGGGAAACAGATGGCCCATGGGGATTCAACTTATTTTGCCGTGAAAAAAATGTTTTTGTTTTTACCTAGTAAATGGCCCAAAAAAGATATAGAACCATAATTTATCACTATTTAAGCAGTATTGTTGTTTTTGTTTCCCTTTTATGGGGGTTGCGAAAAGGGGAAATCATTAAATGTATAACCAACTATGTTGGAATTTAAGCATCACTAAGGTTTGCAGCTGAGTTTCCCACACGATTTTATCATGGAAATGGCTATATTGGTAATAACATGTAATAATAACATTATGGTACACTATTAATATGATTAATCTTGGTTAAATGGAATAACGCGAGATCTTATGTGCCAACAGGGAAAAACATCCAAACAAAACCAGTTGAGCAGGATCTCACTATAAACAAATGGAGCAACAGAAGCGCATGCTGATCACTGACCTGATTTTCCGACGCTACACTTGGTCTTGTTCTCTGAATAACGGATATAGATGCAACAGCTAGACTGCACTAAAGCAATAGAACCACCCCCCATCCATTTTCATTTTATGTTGAATTCCAATCTAGGCAACAACTTCTTTAGAAAGGTCTTTGCAGCCTTTTGCACCCAGAAATCTGCCCCAAAACTCTCAAAGCACCAGCATTTCCCTTTCAAAATTGATCAAAACACTCGAACAATCTAGTTTCATGTGCGGTTCATCTCAGTTCCATCATTCCATCACGGTTTTCCCCTGGTTTCCCCATGTTCCCCTATTTTTTCCACGTTTTTTCCACGTCTTCCCCTGGTTTTTCCAACGACCCGTGCTCCGAAAAAAACCGGCCACGGCACCTGACGTCGTGGCCGCCGTGGCAGCCGTGGCCGGTGGCGACACCATCGGCGCAGCGGCAGTGACGTGGCTGCGGGTGAGCTCGCCGACCTGGAGATCGAACACAAGTCATGGGATGGAGAGATCACACCATATATGTTATTTATATATATATGTAAAAAAAAAATATATATACATATACATATGTCATAAATAAATATATATATATATGTATATACGTTTGTTTAAATAGATTAAGTAGATAGTAGATAGATTTTGTATATTTTGTATATTTTGTATATTTTGTATATTTTGATTATGTTGTATATTTTGTATATTTGTATGCATGTAATATGCGTGTGTGCATGTGTGTTCGAACAAATATGATTATAGAAAACAATTTCAAACAACACATACACATACAAAATTTACATGTACAATACATTTTGTACGATACTTTATTGAAACAAATATGAACTAAAGCATTATGCTACCCCAGAATTGTCAGTTCACCCCAATATTAATGCTTCGTGCGGTCATCAAAGAAACGACTGTGCTGTAGCCAACATCTATTGAACGGACTAGTATTTAATTTATTGGGTACAGCAAATGCAATTCTACCAAAATCTCTTGGGCGAGCAATCAGGTGCTTTCTATTCTTTGAGCGACCACTCATTAAGTACAAACGAAGATGCACACTATTACTACTCCTACTACTACTACTACTGCTGCTGCTGCTGCTGCTACTGCTACTACTGCTACTGCTGCTGCTACTACTGCTACTACTGCTGCTGCTACTGCTACTACTGCTACTGCTGCTGCTGCTCCTACTACTACTACTACTACTACTAGGAGGAGGACTACGACCACGACTACCACTACGACTACCACTATCACTACCACTACGACTACCACTACAACTACCACTACCACTGCCACCACCACTGCCTCTACCACTACCACTAATTTCCAAGTAGCAATAATATGTATATATATATGTATATATATACATGTATATATATATACATGTATATATATATATATAACAGATTTCATAACAACAATAATATCAAACATATGATTAAAATACACTAAAACATAAATAACCGTAAGATAAAACAATGATAACAATATATAACAATTAACAGTTGACATCAGTTGACAAATATTTATTTTTTTGGTAAAGAAAAAACAAATGATATTAAAAAAATCATTAATATATCATACTCATTTTAAAATCACAAATGTATGGATGACAATATGAAATCAAATTCTATGTTAAGCAAGTAATAAAACCATCATAATAATAAGAATAATGATGATAAATGATAACAATAAATAACAATAATAATAAAGCATGATGACAAACTTGTTAAGTAATGAACGGACCACCTTAAATCGAACACATCAACAAACATGTTCCTCTGCTTGGAGCTGTGTTTGCTACCCAGAATGGTACCTCCCCCGTCTGTCATGGTATACCCTCGTTCCCCATCCCATGTTTCTTAGGATTTTCCATGAAATCACCATCCAGCTAAACACAAGGAACACGTCACTAGCAATGCTCATGTTGCGTAATCGAAGGAAGTTTGGAAGTCAAACTTCCGACAGTATGGAGAGATGAAAAAGCAGTCAGCAGGGAGAAGAGTCAGAAGAGAAAAGATCAGAAGAAAGAAGATGCAGGTGCGCGAAAAGGTAGGAAAGTCGCGAAACACTGTGTTTTTTCGTGGTTTTGTGGCTCCGGAGCGTTGAAAAGTAGGCTCGCTAAAGCGGCGGGTGCGGAGACATCTGGGGAGATGAGAGATGAAAAGTTGCACACCGTTGTGGCGCGAAGCACATTTGGAAGTAAAATGTGTTAGAAACTGCGGGGTTCGGACCACTTTTGGAAGTTGAGATGTTGAAAAAGTGCACGCCATTGTGGCGCGAAGCACATTTCGAAGTCAAAATGTACAAACCACACCAGCTTCGGACCACTTTTGGAAGTTGAGATGTCGAAAAAGTGCACGCCGTTGTGGCGCGAAGCACATTTCGAAGTCAAAATGTACAAAACACACCAGCTTCGGACCACTTTTGGAAGTTGAGATGTCAAAAAAGTGCACGCCGTTGTGGCGCGAAGCACATTTCCAAGTCAAAATGTACAAAGCACCACATGTTCGCGCCACTTTTGGAGGTTCAGATCTCGAAAAAGTGCACGCCGTTGTGGCGCGAAGCACATTTCGAAGTCAAAATGTACAAAACACCACATGTTCGCGCCACTTTTGGAGGTTCAGATGTCGCTTCGCTTCGCTTCGGGTCATTACCCTACACTATACACTCCACTACACCACAGTACATTAGACTACACTACACTCCACAACACTACAACTACAACTACAGAACTACACAACTACACTCCACTACACTCCACTACATTATATAAATTACAATACACTACGCCACATTACACTACACTCCACTACACTACACTACATTACACGACACTAGAAAGATCGATAGATAGATAGATACATAGAAAATAGATAGGTAGGTAGGTAGATAGTCAGAGAAAGAGAGAGAAAGAGTGAGAGAGATCAAGCACCTTTCAGTCCATCAGTGGCTTCGCTCTGCCATCCCGGATTCACAACAACCAAGCTCTCCTATAGGTGTCCTATTTTTGAAACTTCCGCCACCGCCTTGTGCGGTACTACTGGTACAAATACGAGCCCTCGATGTTGGTTAATGTCAATACTGCTGAAATGTGCTGAAATCTCGATATTTCTTGATCTTGATGTCTTAGTCCGAAGTCCCAATTCAAATTGCGTTTCGTATTGCATGGTGGGGCCGCATAGTTAGCTCAATTGGTTTAAAACTAATAAAACTAGGGTGTTAAAGAATGTATGGTAGATATAGAATCTATACAGTAGTTGATGGAGAGTATGCACCAAATTTTAAATGGGGGTCCTGTCTTGTGGTATTCGTCTTGTTCATCCATGATGTTGCCTGATCTTCACCCCCTTACCGAACAAATGCCCCAAACTCCATACCCCTCGCATCCGAGGTGCGGAAACATAAGGAAAGGTCGGCAAATCGCCCTTCAAACACCTTGGACCTCGGTGTTTGAGTTGAGCCCTCTGGTTTTTACTAACCCTTTGCGAACTTGAAAATCACCATCTTTCATGGGTAAATCAACTATTTCTATGGTAATGTTCAAGTTCGCAAACTGTGAAAAAAATACCAGAGGCTATTCCGAATCTTATCCATCACATCATGGGTTTCGACATGAACCATGGACCCATGGATCCAAAAAAATCCGGGCAGGCGCGCCAGGTGTCGTCGATAATAAAACATCGCTTCTGGTTATTTGACCGAGCGAACCGGAGAATCACCATGTTATTACTAGGTAAATCCATCATTTTTAACATCTATAAATGATAAAATGGACCATCTTCCATGGCTATGTTAAATTACCCGTAAACCTACCATTTGGAATGAGTTCGTATCACCCACAGATGGTAATATATAGGTAGCTTTAGTATTGGCTTTACCACATTTGCGGGGCAACAATGGTTACAACCCAGCCGGGGACTTGGCGAGTTGTCAAACACTTAGGAATCGTGATTTACATGCAACCTCGAGAAAGACTCACTTATTGCATCATTTCAGCAAAAGTGGGCTCCCTTTATGGAGATTTCCTAACATGGGGTAGCCCCAAATCATCCAAATTGCACCATAGTTTAGTATTGAAAAAAACATGGTGACTTGTGGATCCTCCACTTTAAGACCCCATGTGCCATAGCTCCACGGCATCTCAGTTTCAGGGTTAACTTTCTCAATTGCCGCTGATCAAATAGTCGAATTTTCTGTGCTCCAAAACACGTCCTAACAATCCGGTTTTTTGAAATCCACCATACCCATATGCTTCATGTATGATATATTTACCTTAAAATCACCCATATATATATATATATATATGATGCAATAATATTATATTACATTATACAATAAATGTATATATATATATATGTATCTGTATATATATATAAATAATTATATAGTATACAACATATATATATATATAGTACTACAATTTCAATATGATATATAGCCCCCTTCCAAACAGCTCCCGTTCACCGCATGGCTTTATTTTTCGCCAAGCCACAGACCATGGGCGTCAACGGTGCGGGTTGCGCGGCAGGGCCATGGTGCGACACCGTGGAAGCCGTTGTTGGAACCTGGGAGGCTGATTGGAGGATGGATTAAATGGTGGATGTTGGGGAGGTATGGAAAATTTCAGGATATGTTTTTTGGTATATGTTTTGTTGATGGGATTTTTGGAAGTTAAGGATTGAATGGGATTTAAACAGGATTTTTATGGTGGGTTTAGAGAATTTCTAGTGATTTTAAGGGATTTTATGGCGATGCTTTGGTGATGTTCAAGGTGTTTAGTGGCGATACAATGGGATTTATATATATATATGGATTTCCCATCCCTCAAAGGCCCCCCCTGGTAACAGCAAAGCGCTTCTCTCTCGTTCAGGTGCAGCGGGTACGGGTTCCATTGAGGTCTTTAAGCGGACGTCGGTTCTCCAGCCGGACTGACGCATGTCAAACAGTCGACACGGCTGTTGAACTCATCAGCCGCAGCATCAGCGCTTTGTGTAACCCGTATCGTAGCATCATCTATCTGACATGACCAGCTCAAAGAGCAAGTGTTCAAAGCTTCATGCCCAGGGAGCTTGCGCGAGACCACACTCAAGGCACTCAAGCTGATCAAAGCCGCATGAATGATGGAGTCAGCTGAAGGACTCCAACCCAAGGGTAGCCTTCGACAGAAGAGCCAGCAGCAACTTGATAGCGGAATTCACCATATCTGAGCAGCACTCGGAGCTTGCTCAAAGCAACTGGCAAGACACCTCGAGGCAAGGGAGCAGCACTCAAATCAGCTGTCATGACTACCCGCCAGATGTGTGGCTGTCGTCGAAAGTTTGGTGACCTGACATAGATCCTGCCAAGACTTCATGGTTGGAGCACCATGTTCCAACCTAAGAAAATGATTCTTGGCATCTATGTTAGCTGGAGGGAGGATGTATCTTTAGTTTCTAGTCATGTGAGGTACAATATTCACTAGAGTTTGAACACGTTCCCTAATATTGATCCAACTGATGGGAATATGAAGGTTCAAAAACGACCAATAGGATTTGCTTGAATGTGATTTCAAGGAAACCATTCCATCTGATATTGGATCTGGATAGCTTAGAATAGATCGCGACATGTGTTGCTTTTCTATGCAAGGAATATGAGGATATGGTTAGGATATGGACCAATATCAACAAAACATGATAAATCTGATATGTTATTATCATTTATTATCCCAAGACTTGTTTGTTTCGCGGGCTTCACAAAATCTTATGACATGTGCTTTTTCACGATATTTCAAGCAACAAAGTTTGTGGATGATCCACCCGAGAAGATCAAACTTCACCGACACCTGGACCATTGGACCCATGAATTGGGGTGCATCATTGCATCATGGATGGCAAGGGCATATTGATATGTTGATATGTTGATATACAGTGGATGGAAGAAATCCTGCACCAGTTGATAGGTAGTTTATCCCATTATTTATAGGGTTTCAACCATCCAAGGTGATGCAGGATTTCTTCCATCCACAGTATGTTGCAACATGGATGTACTGTTTGTTTTCTCCAAGGCTGATATTTATTGAAAACAACAAGTAGAGTAAATCTGGTTTTGGGATCTTTAAAAATCCACATTTTGTACCGTTAAAATCCAGAAAAACCCTGTCAAAATCCACCACTAAATCCAATAGTATCAAATCATGATGGTTGTTGCTTGTCGTCCGACGGAACTAGCTGGTAACTACCATTTAGCCGACCCAAATCGCAAATATCACCAGTTTCCAGTATAATAGTAGTAGATTAAACTATACTAGTATTGGGTATCACAAATCGGTTATACCAGCAACAAACGGAATAACTATACTTAAACGGTACCATCTGGTTATTTAACATAGCTATGGAAAATCCCTTATCAATGGAGTTTTCTAGCTGGGAAAATCATTTATTTCTATGGGCCATGGCTTCCATGGCTATGTTAAATAACCAAAGGGACTATCTGGCTGGTGGTATACCTACCCCTCTGAAAAATATGAGTTCGTCAGTTGGGATGATTATCCCCAATCTATGGAAAAATAAAACAAATATAAAAATCATGTTCCAAACCACCAACCAGCTATAGTTAAACGTACCAATTCTTGCTGGTGATTTACCCATCCCCGGGCCCCTCCGTCTCTCTCGATCTCGCCAACTCTCGCCTTGGTGAGCTCCGGTTTTTCCTCGACCTTCAACTCCTGCGCCAGCTCGGCCACCTGGAAGAGTCGGAAGAAGCCCTGAGTGGACATAGTCCCAGATGCTCCATGGTGCTGGCATATTTACCTACATATACCCTAAACATTTCCCAGTTTTGTAGGTAAATATTCCATACATGGAGCATCTGGGAGTGTTTGGGGAAAAAGTGGAATTATCACCTAATCAGCTAATATGAGCTAATCAGAAATGGGAGAATCCATGATAATCCTAAGTTAGAAGACGAACGGAGTGGGACTGACGAAGTTTTTGACCCATCTTCGAAGTAAAGCGAGGTTTCCAATCCATAAGGTAGCCCCTAAAAATCATCAAAGAAAAGGAACAAATTTTAGTATTGAACCCGCGGTGACTTGGGCATCCCCCATTTCAGGAAACACCCGAAGGGGATAATCCTAAGTTCGGGGACGAACTAGTGTACGGCCCATCTTCGAAGTTACCGTTAAATCTTGATCACCTCCGTCAAAAGGTCCTTGAATTTCCATTTTTTAGGTCACATCTAAGAGGGAGTTACCTCAAATCAACCCATGATTAACAAATCATGGAGGTAATCTGCCCATCAGTTCAAGCACTGTGGTTGGATGGAGGTGTATGGGTTCTATTCATAACCATTCTTCTTTGTAAAGGCTAGGATAGATAAATGATGGTTGATAACTCCCTATTAGTATATTAATGTGAAAACCTGATTTTGTAAAACCCCTGGATTGTTGCTCATTGGGAGATATTAGGAGTTGCCCTCTTAGTAGCACATCAACCTAATTAATCAACCAGTGTTTTTCCATCCGGATTTGACGCTAATACTAACTACCTATGGACCACTGATTCACTGATTCAACAAAAATCACAAGATTCAAGACTTCTTTTCCTCGCGACCCTTCTGCGCGTATAGGTTGTACGAAATAATACATGTTTACTTCAAAATCCGTGATCCCCTTAAAAAAACAAAACAAAGCAAGAGATCGTGAAATTTAATAGGCCATTTACAGGGTAAAACTACCCTAGACGTCAGACTCAAGACTATTGGATAGCCATTTCCTGACCCGCTGCATGCCGCCTGGCTGGCTGCCATGCTACTGGACATCCGCCGGCCGCTGCTGCCGCGGCGGCCGGCCTCTGGTGTTGCCTCAGGAATTGGAACGAGGGGGTGGAGATATGTGAGGGATCGCAGAGGCGCAAAGGTAGCTGATGTTCATCCTCTCAAATATGGTGGTTCCCGATACACTGGTGTCTACCCCATGTCAAACCATTTGAACCATATTGAACCATGATTATTGACCAACAACTGGGCCCTTTTCAGCCCCCAGCCGCGAAACTAAGAGTCCGACAAGTCTGGATGGAGCTGCTGCCTGGTATTGAGCCGCTTCCAAATTCCGTTCGGTTTGGTGGAATAGTACGATTGGCTTCGTTTTTGGTGTTCCGGAATCGTTTCCTGGGCCCCCAGCTAAAACGTAGGAATGTGTAGAAGGAAAGGAAAAGGAAAGGAAAAGGATGCAACAGTGGATTCTTGGTCCCAGGCCCCCAGCTAAAACGTAGGAATGTGTAAAGGAAAGGAAAAGGATGCAACAGTGGATTCTTGGTCCCAGGCCCCCAGCTAAAACGTAGGAATGTGCTGTAGAAGGAAAGGAAAAGGAAAGGAAAAGGATGCAACAGTGGATTCTTGGTCCCAGGCCCCCAGCTAAACCGTAGGAATGTGTAGAAGGAAAGGAAAAGGAAAGGAAAAGGGAAGGAAAAGGAAAGGAAAAGGATGCAACAGTGGATTCTTGGTCCCAGGCCCCCAGATAAAACGTAGGAATGTGTAGAAGGAAAGGAAAAGGAAAGGAAAAGGATGCAACAGTGGATTCTTGGTCCCAGAATTGGAGCGCGCAGTGTCTTTCTCAAGAAGCGAAGTTGCTTTTGGGACCAAAATTGGGCGCATTTTTGGCGCCCAAAAGAATGTTTGCGAGACTGATATTGTCCTCGCTAGACACAGACATTCGAACACTGTGGCGGAGTGGTAACATGGCAAGATGTTATAGAAGCAAGGGATGCGCCAATGCATGATGTTGATGTGCTTGGAACACCTGAAGCCATGCGACTTGCTAATCGGCCCCGCAAAAGCTCCTGCAATCTCTACGCCCCTTCCTGTCCCTCATTTGGAGGCCCCAAGTTGAGTGAGTGGATGGCAATCATAAAGCATCTTCCCGCGTTTTGTTGGATATTCATACTTCACAACAAATCATGAACCATGAGCAGGGAACAGCGTTCCTTGTCGAATTGGTTTTCATGAAACAAACGGGTTTGGAAGATGATGGTGCGTTTTTGGCAAGGGCAATTGTTTGAGTTCCTTAGGTTTCTATTCAAAACTTGGATTTGCTTCAGGAACCCCCAAAAAGAATAAACAAAAAATGAATAAGTAAAATCCCATAAAATGCCTTCACAATATACCTAGACTCTCCAAGTACCTATAAACATTGCTGTGTTCACCCATATGTCTACTACATTTAACAATTTTTATGGGTACTTCCAGGGCCTAGGTATGTATATATATATAATTGTAACTAATTATATATATATATATACACATTTATTATCCCAAGCGGTCGACTTTTCCATTGGGAAAATACCATCAACCCTGTGAGTTTGCACCCTTGGGCGTTCATCGGAGCTGAGGTAATTTTTCACTTCACAAAGAATACCCTCTGGTAAACATACAAACAAACTATGGAACATCACCATTTTCAATGGCTAAATCAACAAACATCAACAAACTAAACGGGCCATTTTCAATAGCAAACTGTTAGTTTACCGGAGGGTAACATCTCTTAGTGATTCCAGCCCCATCAGAGTCCTCACCTCACTTTTCAATTCCGAGGCAAGGTCCGCCACCTGGACGGGTTGCAAAATATGACGCTCCTATGGTGAAAGAGTTTGTAACGCCCAGATGATCCATGGTGCTGGAATATTTACCTACAAAACTGGGCAATTCTTAGAGTAACTGTAGGTAAATATATGTAAATATGCCATACATGGAGCATCTGGGATGGAAAACGGCCCAGTGGATCTTCTACTTATTAAACAAGATATAACATGATGATTATCCATAGCTTAGCTGTGAGTCCCAGAGGGTAGACAAGGAAAAATATGAAAAAATGATAGGGATGTATATATATGCATCCAGCCTTTGCCATGGACATGTTTGAATTTTACGCGACAGACGTTGATAATTAATTGATTTGACATGATTTGCCCGACAAAAAAAAGTACTTAGATAGCAATAAAGTTACTTTCGTTTGCTTCGTTTTGTTCAAAATTAGATAAATTGGCTTCGGCTATGGAGACCCAAGGGTACCAATGGATACTACTGGTCATCTGGATGTCTCTGAAAATCGTCCAATGTGGGTAAAACAATGCCATATAAAGCATCCCCCAGTCATCACCATTTTTATAGGTGCTATGCTGCTACGTTTACCATTTCCAATCATGGGTGGTTTATGGATTTATGTCATTTTCCCACATTAGATAATATATCAAATACGTAATCTAGCAGCTAACATCTATAACATTCTATAACTATATAGTTTATCTATTCTTTTATATTCTATAACATTCTATAAAATTCTAAAAGCATTCTATAACATTCTAAAACATTCTATATAACTATATAGTCCATCTATAACATTCTATATCTATAGATACATGTTTGTTTAATATCTAAATGGCGCTGGTTTACATCCACCATCCGGACGATGAAACCAAAGCCATCGGCGAGCTTTCCTCGTAGTCCAAAGATTTGAAAAGCGACGTGCCAGGTTAGAAGTCGATTTATAAACCCAATTGTATGTATATATAATTTATAATATGCATATATTTAATATATAGTTGCATATATAATCATATATATTATCATCGTTATTATTTATTATTACTATATCAATTGTTTTAATATGTATGTAATATATATATATACAATTATCATCGCCAAAGCCTAGCAGTAATAACGGTTTAACATGGGGCATCACTTCATAGTGATCACTGCCACGCCGCCTGGCTGGCTGCCATGCTGCTGGACATGCGCCGGCCGCTGCTGGAGCGGCGGCCGGCCTCTGGTGCTGCCTCAGGGGTGTGGAATGAAGCGATCCATTGAAGAAATGGATATACCCTCTGGTAATTTAACATAGCTATTGAAAATGGTCATTTATAGTGAGTTTTCCCATTAAAAATGGTGATTTTCCATAGTTACGTTAGTTTACCAGAGGGTAGTTGTGGATTTATGCAATATCATAGGGCTAGAAACCAGGTATAGTGGGATATGAGATATTGATAGATATTGGGGATGCACTGTGGATTTATGGAAATCTATATACAAAAAAGATCTGAACTATACAATTAAACCAACACAAGATGGTAACTGTATAGTTTCCAAACTCATCTTTCACCCAATATCTACTGCTTTGACCAACACTTTTGGCTCCCCCAAACATTGCGATGCAACAGCTGAAATTACAATTGGGATCTTGGTACTCTATTTTCACATGGTTTCCGGAACCTCTATGACACGGATCATGGATCCGATATTTTTCCCATCAAATCTCTGCGGCGCCGCGGGTTTTTCCTTCAAGGAGTTCCAAGGCGTCGATATCGGGGATACGTGGGGGTTTCTTGGAATCATGATATCCCACGATGTTTGATTTGTATCTGCATTTTTTCCATAAATCCACAATCTTGGCGATTTGGGGATTCCCCATTCTATATTCTTGGACTTATGGAAATAGAAGATCATATGAGATGGATACAAACCAGAATGGTTTAGATGGTTTAGTTTATAACTAACCAACTACAGTTGGGGTTCTCCCCCATGGTGCTGACATCTGACTGGCAATATTGGCTGGGGGATAGTCCAAGGTATTGGTAAGTAAGGGGATGATTCCCCAAAATGCCAAACATTTCAGCTCCGGAAATTTTGAATGTCACTATGCCAGTAAATGCCCTTTTTGGTTGGTTAAATCCTGACTGACATCCCATTCATGGATTGGGCTCAGAGAAAATGGACAGAAAACACCCATATTTGATGGAAAAACATATAGATTCCATGTATACTTTCTGGAAACTACGCGAAAATAGGGTACCTCAACATCGAAATTGTCATTTCACCTCTAAAATTGCAATTGTTTGGTGTATTCAAATTAAATATATTTGGTGAAATCATGGCGTCACTATGCTTGAGGTTTTTGGCCGCTCTGAAACCTGCACATAACGCATAGATAGAAACGTGATATACTGTAAGTAATAGATGGCCATGGGTCAAAACCCTCATACCCTGCCGTTCACCCAAAAAAGAGTTCCTCAAATGGATGTTCATGCCCCCAAATACAGTACATTAGGTCTTGATAGATACTGTCGATATACTATTGATATACTCGTGTCTATCTTACATGAAGCCATTTGAACCATGATTATTGACCACTAACTGGGTCCCGTTCAGTTGTATCATTGGCCCTTCCCCCAGCTGCGAAGCTAAGAGTCTGGCAAGTTTGGATGGAGCTGATGCCTGCTGCAGCAATGAAGGGGAGGCTGGCTTCCCTTCAGGGCTATCATCACACAATGTAATGTCAACCCCGGATTAATAAACCCTGGTTGATTAATTGTGGTGGTTCCCCCAAATAGGAATAAATGGCTACTGAAATGGTAACCCCCAATTATTGAACAGCCTAGGCTAGGGTTTATTACAGTAATCCGCGGTTGACATTATCAAAACCAAATATTAAAATGTGGAGATTGATGCTGTCTTCAAAGCAGATCCGGAAATTTCCAATTCTGGGGCTGGACCCCTTCAGGTTTTTCAAGCAATGTTGAGAATTCATTGCAGGCACCCCCTAATAAAAACCGAGAGGCATGTCTGATTTCCAAAAGCTGCGGCTTGGATGTGCTCCTTGAGGGCAATACCATCCGTCTTTCATGGCCCATGCGGCCACCAGTATGTCATCACAGAAGCAGTGCCAAAGCAGTTCGGACCGAACACCTCATCGGACGTCTGTAATTATAGCACAGGATCGAAATCCAAGACTGAGTAGACACCTGAATGCTTCCAAAGCCTCAAAATCCCTCAACGATAGTCCATGGTCATCCGTGTCCGACCTCATCCTTCGATCCAAGTGCCGGTCCAAATACAGTAAGCTTCGAGGCACCACACTATGAAACCAGCAAGCGCCATCACGATGGATCAGCAACTGCTGCAAACCATCTGTGTTTTTACCCCAACCTGTCACGCTCCACAGCTGTTTCCAAGGCGGTAAAAATGATGGTTTCCGTGTAGTTTCCAGGTTTCCAAGTTTTCTATCTTGGAGGTTGCTATAAACTATATTAAACTATTAAGGACAAATCTGCACGAGATGTGACGATCACAATTATAGGATTATATTCTAGGAATTCCGGTTGGAAGATCTACAACATAGCAATCCTCTTTCTCAAACACCATACATGTTAAGTAACCGAACCAGTAGAACCGTTTATATCCTCTACTAATGTAACCGTTTATGAATCGAACCGTGCATGCTGAACCGCAAATATCTACCTGACCGAGCCGAATCAAACTCATGCCATACTGCAAATATACAATGCTCCTCTGAAACTTAATTGCCATGGAACAAAAGGGTTGGAAGATGATTGTACCCGTACCTTTTGGAAGCCGCAATTGTTTGAGTTTCCCCATATTGAATTTCAAATTCAAGGCCCAGTTGGTGTTAGTAACATCTGTTCGTTTGATGGCCTGAATCTCACGTCCCTTAGATTCTGTTATTCTTCACCGTAGTTCTCCGTTGGAATTCAGCCACAAACACCTTGATTCTCCCCCTCACCTGGTCACCTTTCAATTCCGAAGCCAGCTCCGCCACCTGGAATGGTGGCATGTTTGGGAGGGATGTTAAGGAAGAAAATTGGGATTGCAAAATGCAGACCTTTTGAGGAATGTACAATGATGTATGTATATGTATATGTATATATATATATATATTCATATTGTATATTATATTATGTTGTGTATATATCAATAATTTATTGTATATCATTATAATATATATATTGAAATATTACATAATAATATATCATACTATATTATATTGATTTTTTATATTGTATTATATTATATTTTATTTTTTTACATCATATTATAGTAAATTAAAAATATATATATAATTATATTATGTTATATTAAATTATGCTAAATTGAATCATATTATATTAAGTTATATTATATCATATTATATTATACTATATTATATTATATTATGTTATATGATATTATGTTTTATTTTGTTATCTCATATTATGTTATACTATATATTATCATATTATATCATATCATATTATATATTATATTATATTAAATATTATATTATATATTAAATTATATATTATATACAGTATATATTACAAATAGAAATATATATATATATGTCTATCTATCCAGTCTGGGAATATGAGCATGTATGGATTTGACGCAAGAACCACCGAGAACTGATGTGACCAAAAAGTGGTGTTTGTCCAAAAATGGCAGCCATGGAGAACGCTCCGGGGCCAACAAGTCCTCCTGCCACCATAATTTGATGGTATACTTGGTGGCTCATCCCACGAATCCTAAGCAGGTTAGTGGGATAAGTAGGGTTAATCCACTTAGGGTGAACTAACCTACTTAGTATGTGGGATGAACCATCAAGTATACCACCAAAATATGGGAAAGGTGTGGGTGGTGGATCGTATTGCTTTACTAACAATCATGATGTGAGAATCAATACCTGGTTCCTACAAGTAATATTGGTTTTACTCACATTAATCATTTATCACTAGTAGAGTAAAGCCAATTTCATGATTAAGTATCATTGATTACGTATCATCATCAACATACTAGTAGTATCATTAAGTATCATTAAGTGCCATTAATCAGAAATAGTCGAACTGTTTTCTGACACTAATCTTTAGTAACTTGGGGATGATCATCTTGGGTCACGGGGTGGATTCCGGGTACCTGAAAAATCGCTGGAATACCACCAGGAAGGTGTTCCAGGAAGGTGTTGTTTTCATGTTTGGAAAATGATTTTCCCAAGGTGGCCATTACCAAACACATACATAATGTTTCCATATGTTTCTGATGATTGAAGAGAAAGTTTGGAAAGTCAATTTTCCCATTATCAATGGACATGATTACACAATGGCTTAATTCGGATAAGAAACACTGTGGGGTTCCATGTTTTGAGTCAACATGGAAAAGGAAGCCCATCGCTAAACTAAGCCCTTGAAGGATCATCCAACGGATACCCAAAAAATGTGGATTGTTTAAGATAACTATGTTTGCTTCCAATTCAATAGATCAAAAAATATTAAAAGGGTCCATTATCAAAAATCCAATTGATTACAATTCTCTATTCTTTGCGATTTTTGTAAAATAGCCTAGATGTGGAAAAGACGCCATTCATAGGTCAATGTCCTAGGGGAAAACATTGGGAAAAACATCGAATTTCATAGGAAAAAAACACATCTCTGTCAACGTTTACCCCCCGGACAATCCTTAGCAATGGATCACCTGGCACCGGTCCCAGGGTGTTCCTGGATTCGCAGAGGCTTCATGGGGATAGCCACCTTTTTTTGGGGAAAATGTTCACCGGAAAGCCCCATGTTTCATGGGAAAATCGATGGTTTCCGGTTAAGATTTTCCCGTGAAAACCAATCTACTGTCTGTTGCGTGTTTCTTTGTTCAAATACTATTCAAACATATCCAGGATTGGGAATGTTCATGTTGGTTACCGAGACCCTTCTGATACAGAATCACATTCCATTCCAAATAATTGTCAAGCTCAAGCAGATAATACCTGTTTGATTCTTAAAAATCATTGATTACTGGTAATCCGATCACACCAGCATACTTATAATGATAAGTTGGGAACACCTCCGTTACAACATACCAATCTCAATATGGAAAAAAAAACATCACCTAGAAAAATAACCATCTGTACAGTACTTATCAAGGTCATAAGAACTATAAAACCCATAAAACTTACATAAATGGAGGTTTCCTAAAATAGAGATTCCCAATTCATCCATTGATAGATGGATTTTCCATTCTAAAACATCCGTTTTTGGGGTACCACCATTTTCGAAAACCTCCATATCAACAAATTTAAGCCCCCATTGATGCTTCACAATCCATGGAGCGAAACTCTTCGCACCTGGCTGGAAACCATGCTACTTGACATCCGGCGTCCTGGGTTCGCCTCGCGAACACAGGACGTGCGTCCCACGAATCGGATCCGTGGTTTAAAATCCATTAATCTAACCCATAAAATCCCAAATATAATAAGGGATATACCATGATATTCCAAATATAACTGGGATTAACTGAGTGTATAGCCCATTTACAAAGTGTAAGATTGAAATGCCGAGTTAATCATCGTAAAATTGGGGATTTCATCGGCAACTTCTGGCGGTAAGATAGATAAAATATGGTGTTTCAATCCATGCAACAGTTGGATTTAACTAACAACTCGAAATCGGGTTTACCCATTCACAGTCTCTTGTGAAACTAAACCTTGAACAATAAAGAATAATCAACATAAAAAAAAAACTCGTAAAATCCGAATAATTGATCAATTCAAAAAAAAACATAGAACTAAGTTTGGATCCCGAAACACGGCCCGGGCAAGGCCCGGATCGACAGTCACGACTGACCTGCGGCTTCCCTGGTGTCGCCTGGCTCACCCGGACCCAAGGGATGATCATCCAACGATGGCTATGGCGGCTATGGTTGTTGATCTATGGATATACAAATTTCATCTTATTATAAGTTGTTGATCTTTTCTAAGGGCTTTTGTATAAATATGCATAAGATCAACAACTTCTAAGGTTGTATGTATAACTATCATCAACTATCCATCCAACTAAGGTTGTATAATCACAACTATCAGTATGATCAATATCCAACTAAGGCTGTATGATATATACAAGGTGAAGCCCCCGCACCATAGCTGACATAGCTAAGGTGACTCATAAATTGGTCAAGTATGGTTGATTAGCGGAATATACCTATAGTTAAAGGTGCTCATAAACCGCTTATAGCTGAGGGGGCTCACCTTGTGTATCTGATGTGCATTTGTATATATATACATACATGTCATACGGAAATATAATATAAATGATGCATATATATATATATGTATATGTCATAAAAACTGATATCCATATATGTATACTAGATACGAGATATAACAGTAGTCGTCATGCATTCATTAATGTTACATACGTATACATTTGTAACTATGCTGTAACAGATATAGATATAGAGGGAGGGTGTAGATGATATACAGATAAATAAAAGAATAAATAAGAAAAATAAATTTTAAAAAAACATAAATAAGTAGATAAATAAATGAATAAATAAATAATAAAATAATAAAATAAAATAAATAAATAAAACAAACAAATAAATGCTTAAATAGTATACAGATGTGGCACCTAAAACTCCCCAAAGCTTCAATTTCAATGGTGCCATTGACTTCTCATCAGCCCTTATGATCTCACACACACATTTGCGAAAAACAGTCACCTCGAACCACACCGTAACATACCGTTCATTCTTTCGTGATACCCCGCAACAAGCATGATGGTTCAGCCAGCAACAGTCCTTGACTGATTCTATATCCGTGACTCCCTGATATTGCATAAAGCAACCGCCTATTCAATTCGACCAACTCGCACAAAGTTCCACTCGGATCCATGAACTTCTCTCGCCAAAGCACGGCAGGGGAACAAGGGAACGGCGCCGGCGACCCCCGAGAGGTACCGGTGCAGCAGGACGTGCCGTCACCTAACAGACTAACACGCTCAAGACAAGCAACCAGAAAATACCAAATAAAAGGCAGTTCCCCATTCCATCCGCATCATGTCTCCGTATTTCAAAAGCATTTGCCAAAACGCGCAAACGCCACGCCACCCTATCACATCATTTCAAGTGTCCGTTTACTACTCATACGAAACATGGTTTTGAATCGCCTTTTTTACTTTAATGATCCCTCAACTGAACCCAACCAGCCATACCAAGTTCCATGCAAATTACAGTGGTCATTAAAAGACCAGTTTGGACATCACCACAGAAGCCCCGGCTCATGCCAATGCAATAGTCTTTTGTCTGCCGCATACTGCATGCACAGCCGTTGGATTTGAACACGTCGTAAAAAAGTGTGCAGGAAAAGGGGCAAACAAATCAATGGGGAATTTGTGCGGAAGACGGTAAGATGGGTATGTGAACAATGCTTGCTCACTCGCGCCCTCACCCATCTCACTTCTGCGCATGCACCTGCAGGCTGCAAATCCGAAGCACCCTCTTGGAATGATTACTACATTCACACCCTGAATGGCCATGAAATGGGGTATTCCAAATTTTGAGACACGCACAGATCTGGTTCAGCCAATGGTTCATTGGTGCCTTGGGTTGGCCCCCTCGGACAGGATACCCCCAGGATCCCAGTTTCCACCAGATAAGATGCCTGATCTAAGATACCCTGCAAAAATGACAGATGCGTTGCTGGTTAATATAGGTCCCCACTTATAGCAAAAAAATCAATACTAAAGTACTCATCAAAGGTTGATCCAGATAACCACAATGTTTAAGCAAATTACAACAGAGTTCCCAAACCAGATTTAAAATGATTTCAGTCCATAGAGGGGGTAGTTTCCCATACTAACCGTTGGTTGCTTGGTACAGTACGGGTGCCGAAAAAATTGGGGCTTTCTAAAGGTCCAATTCGCATGGGATGACCAGAAAAAGAATAACACTACCATGATGACTTATTGCCCAAAAATGGATCATGGTGAGTTTACCAGAAAGGTCAACTTTTTGAGCACGGGAATTGACCGATCAACCCACATGTGAGCAACATGTTCGCCTTTCCCAGCTCACCAGAAAGGCCATAAATTGGGTTTAATGGACTTTCGACCAACCCCCAGTGACCAACTATTAGTGTCATGTGGGATTTGATTCATGTTTGTATTAGGAATTATACTAATGACGCCCTGGAGGTCATTTAGACCATTGAAAGAAAGGTCGTTCAAGCAACTGGGTAGTGAAAAACCCCTACGCAAATAATGGTCTTTCCAGGTTGGCCCAGGATGTTGGACGTGCAAAATCCAAGAATGAAATGTCTTCAAAGAATCGAAACCCATCATAAAAAGATGCGTGCCCGGTCTCTGCTCAACCATTTTCCCAACCCAGCTCACGGCTCGATGGCTCTTTGGCTTTCATGGCTTTGTCAGCCTTCATCGCTTTTCATGGCCTTCATGGCGTAAATCGCCTTCTTTGTCTTGGCCGTTCGACCAAGCCATCCAAAGTCAGCCCCGGCTGTTAATTGACCACAACAATGATGTAGCAAACCGCCGCTGGGTAGAATGAGATGCAGCGACTGAACCAGCAGCTTCAAGTCGAATGAGACGAGCATGAAGATTGCAAAGGCCTCCTCGTGACCAAACCGCCTCCACCGCAGCCGTTCTTGCCCACCGAGGTTCGTCAAGATCACATTGACCTCGTCGTCATTGATCGCCCAAACGTCAAAGCCGAAAGTGTGGGACGCCATCGAGAATCTAGAGCAAGTGCTGTAAGTCACTCCATCCGGCAGGGCAGGAATATTGCATTGACCGTCATGGTTGAAGCCACCGCACACTGCTGTGCCATCCCTCGTGATCCCCACCGTATGGCGGTCGCCAGCCACAATCATTTCCAATCCTGGCCTCTGCGCCCCTTCGAAGTGCTCTAACGTTCCCGTACAAACAGCAATGCCATCACTTCGGAGAAATACAGTGTGACATGCACCTGCAGAAACCTGGGTGAAGAATCTGGAGTCACACACAGGGACAGTGCATTGTCCAATGGTGTTCCATCCACGGGCCACGGCGGTACCATCACTGAGCAGAAGAACGCTGCGAAGAGCACCTGCAGAAACTTGCACACACGTCACCGGAGCTCCTCCCAACTCAATTCCAAGTTGCCCTATTTGGGGTTGTTGTTTTTTTGATTTGGGGTTCCCAAAGTACAGCTGCATTTCAGCCATGAGAAGGTGATTTTGCACCAGGAGTACCTGACATGTGGCTGAGACATCTTGGCCCTAGTGGGCAATGATAAGTATCCACTTGGTGAAGAACCATCTTGCTTTGGCCCAAGAAAGAAAAATCACAAAGCACATTGCCAAGCCACAGGCAATCTGTTTTGCAATATTGCTTGTGGACCTTGGGGTAAATCAAAGAAAGTATTATGAAGTACAAATGGGAACTTCACAAACCACTAAACCTTTTTGTAGCAAAATCGTGTTCCCCAAAAAAATGAATGTGCTGGTTGCCAGCCACTAGGTCTGGCAACCAGCCTGCAAAGCATATTGAACTGAAACAGTGTGTTTGTTTTATTGGTTTTTGTTGCCATGATTTGGGGTCTTCAGGCTACGGCTGGTTGATTTACTATATGCATTGATGATGTTTATGTGTAAAGGGGAGCCCCAAAAGACTAAAAACACATATGTGTACATATGTGTTTGTTTGGATGTGTAAACATCTAGACCAACTGTACCCCAAAAACATGACATGTATAAGTTGCACTGATCAGTACATTACTCCACAAAAACATCGAACATACCAGTCAACAACCAGTGAGTACACATGTGACACGCATTCAGATTTCGAGTTTCCTGGATGGCTGGCAGTATTCATCTCCCAGTTGTTAGCCTTTAACTTTATCTTGGCGTTTTACCCCAATTTTTCCTTTTCAAACCACTGGCAAGCAGAAATGTGAAGTGAAAACAGCACAAGGCTACCAGCATTGTTCAATCACCCTGACACCCGATCACAAGCAATTGGTTTTTCCATCAAACTGCGTTGGTCAAGACTGTAACGGCCCTCTTTGTACAGTCAAAGTCAAGCTAATCAAAGTTGGAGTCAACTCGGAAAGTCAAAAAGCCAGGTTCCCATTCTTCATGGTTTTCATTCCATCACCGGCTGCAACTTCACCTTGTTGAACAAGACCTGCACTTGTCCTTCTTGTCCACATTTGCCTTTATGCATCTTCAGGTCACAAAGTAAAAAAATGTAAGATCAGGTAGAACCAAAACATGCCAACACATGAAACTAACAACCAAGCGAGCCACCCATGCCAAAAGGAGCCGTGGTTTGGTGAAGCGGCGAAGCTGCCCACAACTTGCCATCATACGCAGCCATGACCGTGAACTCTCCATCCTGTTGGCCAAGGCATCATTTTTTTGGTAGTGGTGCTAGGGGTTAAAAAAGGACACAGTTACAACCACTTTTTTGATAAACCCCAGCCTGCAACACCTTCTGCTTGTATGCAGCATTGATATGTTTGAACAACTGCTTCTCAGTGCGGAAGTGGGACTGTGTCAACGATGTCAATTTCTCCTCCAACCATGTAGCCAATCGTTGACCAAGTTGACGACTTGCTTCCCTGGATGGCCAAAGATCCGAACAATATAAGGATATATCAAGAAAGGACAAACAATGGAGAAAAAACACAGAAGTTCATCACCAAAACCTGGCCTGAGGAAAGGGTGGTGCATACAATTCTCCAGGGTCACCACCAGGCCTTCCCCTTGCTCCAGCAGCTCAGTTTCAACATCGGGAAATCCTTCTGACAGCATTTTCAGATCAACCAGATCAAGATGTCCCACCCAAGCTGGAGCTGACAACCTCAGCTGGAT